GAACGCATACATTGACTGAGCATATATTCTCGTTTGTTGCAATCGCGGTAGACTGCAATGTACAGTTGCAGGCAGGCACGAGCGTGCTTCCTAATATAACTTATGAAATGTCACCATTGCACATGCTCAATGGAAAAAATACCGTATGCCTCTCCCATCATATCTTTGGGACCCGCCATAACGCGATAAGTAAATCCAATATTTGTCAATTTCAACAAATGACGGGCCAGAAGCTGGAGACAGGGCTCGCCGTATCCTTACAAACAAATCAGCTCATTAGCCTACAGCCTAATGTTATGTTAATAATGAGTGTGAGCACCACACTTTACTAGATTAGTAAGGAGGAAGTTCCTGCTTCACTTCCTGAGGCGCAAAGACGACGCGATGAAGCGAAGGACGCCAGACTTGCTGCGACAGCTGCTAGTCTTGGAGGATTTTGGCGACGCGCATGAGCAACCGTCGACAGGGTAATCGAACTCAGAAAGGTCATTGTCGCACATATGGCTGTCGGCGAGCGACGTTAGATGGAGCGATTGCTGCTGTGTCTCAACGACCGCGAGAGCCGCGCAGCGGATTCGCGACCTCGCCTCGTCAATCCAGATCGGGCTGCAGGCCAGCTCGGCTTCCCAGCACGCTGAGTCGCCCTCGCAGTTGTTATAGTCGAATGAGTCGCGGAAATAGGGAACCTCGGAATCCGAAGAGGAAGAGTCGAGACTGCACACGCTCTCCATGTCGCAAACGCGGCTGAACATCTCGAAAGAAACAACTGAGAGGGGAGATGCTGGGCACATATCGAAGTCGGCGGTGGGAGCCATGGTGAAAAATGTTGTGGAGATGCTTGAGTGGTACAGGAGTGATCAGGTCGATAGGCTTCTTTGGTTCTATCAAAATCAGTGAGTGATACCAACGCTCCAGCTGGTTCAGCTTTATGTCGCCATAGCACAAGGTGTAAAAGTGAAAGTGGATGAGGTGAGGGCTGTTGGTTAGGTTGGATGCAATGAAAAGCAACCCACAGGAGGAGCTCGAAGTTTCTGGCCCTGTGATGCAATCCGCACAGGCCCTTCACGTGAAGGGCTCCTTGCCCAGCGCACCACATCAATGCAGCTTCCAGTACACATCAGGGCGGGAAATTTGTGCGTGGTGGTCGCATCGGCTGCATCGCGTCATAAACAACCTTGCCTTCAAATCTTTCACGAGACCAACACCTGGAGTAATCATGACTTCACGGGCATTGCCACGCGCAACTGAGTTACGCGCCACCTCTCTGTGCAGTGCTTTGGGGGAGGCTTGGAAGGTGGGGTGACGAGCGACCACGACCCGATGCAAGCTTATCCAGAAGAAATGGTTGGACACGTATGCACTGTCCATAAGAACAGCGAGCGCGCTTCAGATTCAGCCCGTGAAGTCATAACGTGAAGTCATGATTACTCCAGGTGCTCGACTCGTGTCTATCTTCAATGCGTGCAAACCTAGAGGATTTGAATTGGAGAAATGCTTGTGCGGGATGACGTGATGCGGTTGATTCTCAGACCAAGCGCAATTTTCCCGCCTGATTTGTCCATCCTTTGAACTGGAATGCAAGCTGCATTCACGCGATGTGACGCGCGGGCAAGGGGCATCACGTGAAGAGCCTTGTTCCGCGGATTGTCTCAATAGGACCAGAAGCTTCGAGCTCCCGTTGGCTGCATCCAATCCAAACCAACAGACTTCCCTCCCTCTCCTCCCTTCCCCTCCTCCCCAGCAAACTCCACAGTTTCGTCATCCACTCCACACCTTCGGTACGGTGGCGAGATAAAGCTGAACCCACTTCTGCTTATTGTATTCTGCACTGGATCTGTTCAGAAGAAGCTTGTTGACATTGGCACTCTTTGACCTAAGACCTCTCTAAAAGCATTCCCTCAGCATTGTCCACTATGGCCCACACCGCCGACTTCGAGATGTGCCCTGCATCTCCGCTCTCAGTCCTTTCTCTCGAAGTGTTCAGCCGCGTCTGTTGCGACCTAGACAGCACGTGCACACCCGACTCATCCTGCTCGGAGCCTGAGGCTCCCTATTTCCGCGACTCATTTGACTACAACAATTGCGAGGCCGACTCAGCGTGCTGGGAAGCCGAGCTGGCCTGCAGCCCGATCTGGATTGACGAGGCAAGGTCGCGAATCCGCAGAGCGGCTCTCGCGGTGGTTGAGACACAGCAGCAGTCGCTACATCTGACGTCGCTCGCCGACAGTGACCTTTCTGAGTTCGAATATTCTGTCGACGGTTGCTCATGCGCGTCGCCGAAATCCACTGAGGCAAAGAGCTGAAATTCGAGGAGCAGCAGCAAGGCTGGTGTCTTCCGGTTCATCGCGACGTCGTTGCGCCTGCGGAAGTGAAGTTAGGGGATTGTATTCCTAGTGACATTTAGTAGATGTGGTGCTCACATCTCTAGCCTTGGCTGGCAGCTGCATTGATTAATTTCTCTGTGATGGATACGGCGTGGCCGGAACTTATTGGCCCGTCTCTGCAGAAATAAGAGATTCTTTCAAACTCAGTTTCAGAAAGTTGCTGGTTCTGTCCAAAGTTGTACTTCTGACATAGCTTATGTGCCATTAACATTTACCTGAATAACACGTGTGTCACATAGATAGACACATTGGGGACAGGTCATTAGGGCTGGGCCATTGGGTTGGGGCTTGGATTGGATTTTGAAAGGTTTTCACTTATTACTGAATAGCTTAGAAAAATATGTGAACGTTGTTAACAGCTACATAATCACCGCCGTTCTCAGCGAATGTAACCCATTGAATGCGGAATCCAACGCCAGCACATTTTTTCCCATCAACGGGCATGCTTGTCGCACAGCACCTAGAAGCACCATGGAACGAGTGAAGGATACTGCCCTACTTGTCGCACCTAAACACAAACTGCAAGAGATGTCTTCTTTGCTATCCATCATCATACACACCCTATGGCTTCCATGCAGTGTGCATGAACAATTAAGGTAATCAAACAGTGTGCATTGGCATGGTGTGACGAGTGACGACGTTTCAAACTTCCACAGGAAAGCAGAATATCCTAAATCGCTACCCTGCATATCTGTCCTTGAATGACTAGGTAGGGACCTCCAAAGGTGTCACTAACAAAGCTATAGGGGGACAACATGACCCGCACCCACTATATAACGCATATGGGTAATGGTTCTCAGCCTGTGTTGGGATATCACTTGGACTGATCCAGTAACAAAACGTAGAAAGAGTTCAAATGAGAACTTTTATTACTACAAGGACGGGCCAATATGTTCCAGGCCACGCCGTATCCATCTTATAGAAATGAACTTACAGCTGCCAGCTAAGGCAGGAGCTAATGATGTGAGCACCACATCTAAATAACACTACCAATCAATCCCCTGGCTTTACATCCGCAGGCGCAACGACGTCGCGATAAACCGGAAAACACCAGCCTTGCCGCTGCTCCTCGAATTGAAGCTTTTAGCCTCATTGGAGTTCGGCGACATACAGGAGCAAACTTCAGCAGAAACGTCGAACTCTGAGAGGTCATCGTCATGCATATGGCTGTCAGCGAGCGACGTCAGATGCAGCGACTGCTGTTGCGTCTCAACTACTGCGAGAGCCGCGCTGCGGATTCTCAACCTTGCCGCGTCAATCCAGATCGGACTGCATGCCAGTTCGGCTTCCCGGCATGCTGACTCGCTTTCGCTGCTGTTGTAGTCGAATGAATCGCGGAAATAAGGAACATCACTCGTGGAAACAGTTGCATTGCATGCTCCATCCTCCAGGTCGCAACAGACGCGGCTGAACATCTCCAGAGCGAATTCAGAGACGGGTGAGGAGGGGAAGCTTTCGAAGTCAACGGTATAAACCATGCTGACGATTCTTTAAGAGAGTAATTAGAGCAAGAGGTTACTGTAAAAAGGGTCGTAATCCTGCTGCTATGCGTAGACGTTGCTTGAATGAGTTGCTGAGATTTGTGAAATGTATCTGTGGGACCCTCAGCTATATTTCGCAGCGTTCGGTCACTGGAAATGAGGGGATCACTGAAATGACTCAGATTCGAGGCGAGAGGGAAGGAGGAGCAAGCGTCATGAGACGGGGGTGGGGTGGAAGCTTCCTTCGGCGTGCAAGCTGGCTGCCTGGCGTGCGAATAGGGTTGCATCGGTGGAGAATCATGCGTCTCAGGCCCCATTGCTTTTCGTCGCTCCCGTAGGGGCTTTCACGTGAGCCGACGATGAGAGGGACCCGATGGTCCCAGCTGCCATTGGGACTGATGCCAACTGCCTCGCGTGGATGGGGATTTCGCAATCATCACTTCACAAGGGTGGCTTTCACGCTTTTCTCCGACTCAGCCAAGAACGACCACAGAAAGGCCTTCCCGCCATGCGGGAAAGGTCATGTCAGTGCTTGCCCGATGCCGGAAACAGATGGATAGAAATATATAGAGTATGTTTTCTTTTCACATGCAGCTGTGGAAACGATTGAACCCATCTTTGAATAAGGTAATCACTCGAGAATGTACAGCTAAGACACCAAGGATATGTTTTGCGGTTTGAGCTGAACTGCCCGGAGCCGAGGCACTAGCATTTTTTCCAAAAAGTCACAGGTGAGGACCAGGTGCACACACAGCACCACAAGAGTCAAGTGCCCTTGTACCATCTCGTCATGATGGCTTCACAAGGTAGACAGTTTCCCGCGCAGTGACATTAATGACCGATAAACGGAACTCCACTTGCTCCCGTTCCATTACACGCACACTCGCTAGCATCCCAGATTTCTAATGTGACGGTTTCTGATATTTTTAAAGAGTTGCTGTTCGCTACACAGGAAGAGTCATTGCGGTTATTGTAGGGACGCTTAGGCAATTAAATGTTGCATGAGGGAAATTAGGGTAATAAAAAAATCAACATTTGCTTCAGTTTGGTTGTATTGTGCTACTACTGGTAACAGACAGTAATGAATAACACAGTCAAATACTCATACTAGAGATGCACCCAACGATTGAGAAGCCTACTTGTTGCGACCAGTATCTCTCTCATCAACTTTACCATTTCCTGCAAGCGATCGTTCATACAGTGCTTGCACCAGCAGCGCGGAGAACACAAGCCCACTAGCAGCCACCTGCAGCCACTCCTTGGGTTCATGCGTGACCGCCTGCACTAGAGAGAGCCCTGATATAGCCACAAGGGCAGCATACACCTTGCGACGAAACGGCGATGCAGCCGCCCTTTGATTCGCTGAGAACAGCTCTGGTACTGCCTTCAGTGCTTGCTCCTTGCGAGAGAGCGCCGCATTGGACGAGGGCAGCGATTGCACAGATCGCGAGGACGAAGCCGAAGGGGGTGTTTGAGTGCGGGGCTGCAGCGATGGTGAAGATGACGAGGAGTCATCCGACGAATCAAATCCCCTCGTGCCTCGGCTTGCAGGTTCTGAGCCGCGTGAACCAGCGGCAGCAGCAGGAGGCGAGGACTCGGAGGGTCGGCGGTAGAGCTGCTTGAAGAAGAGCAGCGAGTTGCGCCTCTCCTCCACGGACTTTTCAAACTCGTCAAACTCGCGCTCGCTGCGCTCCATGTCTGCCCGCGCTGCTGCCAGCTGCTGCTCAAACTCGTCTGCCTCTGCATCCACCTGCTGCAGCACCTGAATGGAAAAGGAGGGGGTGAGAAAAACACGCACCGGGGGTTGAAGAGTGCAGGAACCTCACGTTTTCCAATCCCAGGTTAAATGAGATGAAACCATGTGTATGTATCTAAAGCAACTGTCACTCGAGATTGACTGTAGGGCACACACGTTGGTGATCTACAGGTTGGCTGGAAAAAGATGGGGGAATGCGGTGGACCGGTGACAGAGAGGTTGGAACACACTTGTGCTCGCTTCACCTTGCTACTCGCCTCACCTTGCTGCTCGCCTCACCTTGCTGCTCGCCTCACCTTGCTGCTCGCCTCACCTTGCTGCTTGCCTCTTCCATGCCCCGCTTCGCCTCTTCGGCAATCCTCGCATACTCTGCTGATGCTGACTCAGCAATCCCCGTCAGCAGCTGCGTCCTCTCCTCCACAAAGGACTCCACGCGTACCTGAAGCACATTAGGGTCAGAGGGACAGGGAATGCAGGATCAGGGATCAGGGTGAGAAGATGAAGCGATCAAGGCGAGAAGATGAGAAGGTAGGGGTGAGAAGATCAGGAATCAGGTTGAGAAGTTCAAAGGAGCAAGGCGGGAAGATCAGGGGATCAAGTGAGGTATAAGCCTTTGCGTGTGATGAGAAGACTCTGGTAGAGTGAAGGGTTCAGGTGGGTGCAGCGGATAGAGGGAGCGCTGAAGGAACTGATAGAAGCAGGGAAAGGAGAACACAAGCACCAAGGATGCAGCGCATCGTTCAATGAGAAGCAGCACTGCGCACAATGTGACCACACGGTGAGCACAAGCTGAGCACAATGTGAGCGCACACAATGTGACCACACGCGCCTTATCGGATTGCAGCTGCATCATGTCCGCCAACAGCTGCTGCATCTCCGCGTCTCCCGCTGCCCCGCCATTCCCGTTCCCCTCCTTCTTCTCGCTACCGTTGCCACTCCGATCGTTCTTCCCCTGACCGCCTTCGCTCGCTCCATCACTCCGCGAGCTCGCGGAAACGCGCCATCGGCGAGAAACTATTAAAGCTGGCCGGGAAGATGCGAGGCTGCTTGCGACGCCGTTGAACACGGTGGCATCTGTGATAGGTGCGAAGCTAAATCTGGTGGCTCTGCTCGTGACGTAGTCTAGCCTCGCACTACAGACCGGCGACCGCGCTTCGGGAAGCCTTGGAAGGAGGGGTGCGTGTCGTTGACGGGTGAGCGTAGCACGCGCGGCGGGAGCAGAGAGGTGCGCCACTCGATGAGCAGCCATGATTTGCGGGTGGGGTGTGAAAAACGAGGCGGTGGTCATGTAGTTTCCACAGCCCCCAAGGGTATTGGGCCAGGAGATTGAAAGGACATTCGCAGGATTGAGTGAAGTGTAGCTCAAAATGTTCATACGTTCTGATATCGTGCTTGCAATGTAGTAAGACTATACAAAAGCGTGCGGTGAGCGCGGATCGAACACGCGACCTTCAGATCTTCAGTCTGACGCTCTCCCAACTGAGCTATCCCCGCATGTTTGATATACAAAGGTTTAAAATTTATCTTTTAATTACTGGGCTCCTCGGACCTAGTTGTTTTTGTACTTCTTTTCGGAGTTCCTCCCTCGTTTTATAACTCTCCGTCCCCATCGTTCTCCGCACGCAAATCAGTCGTCGCGGCCATGCCACGGTATGCTCCACTGTGCTCTCCTAGTTAGGGTTGGGATCTCGAGGGTCAGACCAACCCTTTTAGGGTTGGGTTAAGTAAAAAATAATTAATTCGAGGTGACGAATTTTTTTTCCCACCGTCACCGATGCCCTGTTTTTTTTTTCGAATCGTTTTTTTCCGCGATGCCGTTATCCGCGCTGGCGTCAACCGCGCTGAGAGCTCGCGTACGGTCGCGCTTATTTGAATCCCAGAGCCTCCTGGGTCATGCCTTTCCCTTCTGCGTTTCTCTCCCCTCCCCCCCTCGTTTTCCTTCATTCCCATTACTAGTTCGCCCCTGACTAGTCTGTGCTCTCTCCCGCCCCTTCCTTCCCTCCCTCCCGGTGTTCTCTTCTTTCGACCGTGTCGTCTTGAACCGCAGATACTATTGCGATTATTGCGACACGTACTTGACTCACGACTCGGTAAGAATCACGCGCGTGATTTGTGGCCCTCTTTCCTTCTCCCAGCCCTCCTCCTATCTTGTCCTCAGTCCCCCTTTTTCTTATCTCCTCTTCCTCCTTCCCATCCGCTCCGCTTCTTCGCATCCCCTTCCCTTCTTCCCATCCCTTCCCCTTCTTCCCATCCACTCCCCTTCTTCTCATCCCCCCTTATTCTTCCCATCCCATCCCCTCCCCTTCTTCCCACCCCCTCTTATTCTTCCCATCTCCCCTTCTTCCAATCTCCTCCCCTTCTTCCCATCCCCTCCCCTTCTTCCCATCCCATCCCTCCCGTTATTCCGTTCCCCTCTCCTTCTTCCCATCCCTTCCCCTCCTTCTCATCCCCTCCCCTTCTTCCATTCCTCTCCCCTTCTCCCCATCCCTTGCCCTCCTCCCCATCCTCCCCCTTCCTCCCACCTTCTCCCCTTCGTCCCATCCCCTTTCCTGACTCCAATCTCCCAGTGTACACCATCCGCACACCTGATCACCCCTTTCTTTCCTTCCCCATCGTTCTCCACCTCCTCGCTTGCCGCCTATCGTCCACCCCTTCTCGCACCCGCCACTGCACGTATTTCATCAGTCTATCTCCACTCCCCAACGCCTGCTGGCACGCTGTCTTCTCTGCACTCTCCTGCACCCCCCGTGCGCTTCCCTAGCACCCCCTTTCACTCTCCTTTTTGCTCCTTCCGCTCCACGTGCACTCTTCAGTCTCTCCCCTGCGACTCCTGATGTTCGCCTTGCGTTCCCCAGTCCCTCCCCTTGCACCCCACCAATCTCTCCCCCCTGTGCGCTCACCGATCCCTCCCCGTGTCACAGCCGTCTGTGAGGAAACAGCACAATGCCGGATACAAGCACAAGGTGAGGGATACAAGCACAAGGTGAGGGATACAAGCACAAGGTGAGGGATACAAGCACAAGGTGAGGGATACAAGCACAAGGTGAGGGATACAAGCACAAGGTGAGGGATACAAGCACAAGGTGAGGGATACAAGCACAAGGTGAGGGATACAAGCACAAGGTGAGGGATACAAGCACAAGGTGAGGGATACAAGCACAAGGTGAGGGATACAAGCACAAGGTGAGGGATACAAGCACAAGGTGAGGGATGGGTTTACTGATAGTATTTACACGCAGCACGCAGTGCACATGGTGGCAGCACAGCGTGCGTGATGCTCGTAGAAGGAGTGGCATGTGATGTGAGCATGACGGCAAATTAGAGAAGATTTTTGCGAGCAAGGACGCGGCGAATCACAAGCGTAGATGGCGGCCGCATGCATGCTCATGAAGATCCACGTGGCACACTCACGATTCTCTGCTCTCAACTGTATTTCCGTTCTTGCACTCGTCTGCTCTCACGTGGGTTCCTTCCCTGTGGCTTCACACACACACTAACCGACTCACCCACATGCACTCCTGCTCGTCAATTGCCCCTTCCACTCCCTAACCTTCTTCTTTCACAGTCCAACCGCCACTGCCCACCCGTCCTCCCCCTCCCCCCACCCCCCCAGGCGAACGTGCGCACGTACAACCAGCAGTACTAGGAGGAGCCCATGCAACGCAATCCCTCATCGACCACCAGCCCCTCCGTTTCCTTCCTTCCTTCTCTCCCCTCCCCTCTCTCCCTCCCTATATCACACTTCGTCCTCCTCCTCCCCTCCTTACCAGCCCATCGGCTCTCGCCTTCACATTGGCTCTTCCTCTCCCCTCTTCTCTATCTCCCCACCCCTGTTTCCTCCTAAATTTTCCTCCCCTTCCACTGTTCATTTCCCCTGCCCACCCCTCCTCCCCCTCCCCCCCCTCCTTACCAGGCCAATGTGCGCACGTACTACCAGCAGTATGAGGAGGAGCAAACGCAATCCCTCATAGACCAGCGAATCCGCGACCACCTCGGCTCCGTCCCCATCGGCTCCGGCCTTCCCATCGGCGCCGCCGCCGCAGCAGCAGCAGCCGGAGGCGGGGCCGCCCCCGGAGGGTTCCCGCAGCAGCTGCTGCGGCCAGGCATGCCCCCCATGGGCCTCCCTGGCATGCCGGGTATGCCAGGGATGCCGTTTGGCATGCCGGGTGGTGCAGGGCGGGGGGCGGTGCTGCCGCTGCCAGGGCAGTTCTTTGGTGCGTCGGGCATGCGGCCGCCCATGGGTGGCATGGTGCTCATGCGCCCCTCGAGATGACCCTGCCTGCCGCGCTGCTGCTCCCTGGGCCATGCAGGGATGGCTGGTGTTGGGGGGAGGGGGGTGGAGGGAGGGGAAGGGGGGAAGGGAGGGAATGGGAGGGGAGGGAGGGGGGGATGGGAGGTTAGGGTGGGGAGGGAGAGGAAAGAGGGTAGGGAGGGGATGGCTAGGTGGAAGGGAGGTAGAGGGGGGATAGGAGGGAGAGTAGCGTGTCCTGTGCTTTAGTTGGTCGGTCAGCTAAGTCTTGGGTGCTACGAGGCTGGGTCGTTGATGCTGCTGTGACTGCAACCATGCAAGGGATGCTGCTGTGACTGCAACCATGCAAGGGATGCTGCTGTGACTGCAACCATGCAAGGGATGCTGCTGTGACTGCAACCATGCAAGGGATGCTGCTGGTGATAAATACAGGGTGAAGGAGGGGTACTTGGTGGATGGGGAGGAGTTGGCTTGGGGAGGGGGGGGGAGGGGGAGGGGAGAGGGAAGCATGAGGATGTGTCTGGGACAACCGACGGCACATACAGGTGTAAGGGCTGGGTAACAGCTGTGCTGTGTGCATCTGTCTATCAGCTTGTTATGTTCTCCAGCACAGTACAATAGCAGTACGATTCAATGGTGCCAGAATGCATGCAGCACTCCATCAAAGCACTGCTGTGCCCTACATTTGTACCGTTGCAGACTCACATGAGTGACCACGAACATCTGTGGTCCAATATGTCTGTTGCTGTGATTCCAGACCAGTACCTGTAGTTTCCTGACCTGACCTTCCAGCTACACACTAACAATCTGGATTCTTGCCTTCATGTGTGTGGTCTAGCCTTTCTACACACCCTTCTATCACTCTGCTTTGCTGCTCTACTCCAAACTTATGGCTTTACTCAGCCCAACACTAGTTTCATCATGAGCTGGCAGCGGTCGGTGCAAAGCGTTGCGCTGGCATGGCATGGCATGTTACCCAACCAAACGTACCAGTAAACCCAGCGAGCAGCAGCAGCAGCCCCCTCAAGCCTGTGTTCAGTTCAGGTGAGGAACTATGGGTGGGTTTCACAACACGTGTATTACGATCCTGACCAGCAGAACGCGCTGAGCTGACGTGGTACCATATTTGCTCTCAGGCGTTGTTTGGTTGGTACCGGTAGTATCATCAGATGGCTAGGAGGGTGCTTCCACAAGTGGAAGCTGTCATACGGGTCGCGGGGTTTTCTTGTAGCAACGCCCAACACCAACACCCTTTCAACTCCAACAAATTACAGCACCCTTTCTGAAGACTGGCAACAGGAGCAAGGTGGTAGGGGTGTAATTTGTGATTTAGCTCTCTGCGACCAGTTTTTCATTCTATTTTCAGGGAGTTCAACTACGGTAGCTTCAAGGAATTTGAAGATTTGAATTCATTACCCAACCAGCGTCCATACAAACATCATCAACCCTGTTTATTCCTACACGCATGCCTTAACCCTCGTACCATCACCTACCAGCACGTCTCTTCCCTTCCCCTTCCCATCCCGACCACAGTCAGGCCTCTCCGCTCCAAGCCCCCTACCACCGCCCTCCTCCCTAAACAAACCCCCGCCCTGCACGTAACCACGTGTCGGGAACAACCGCATGCGTGTGAGAGAGAGCACCCGGCAGCCGGCAGCAGCGAGTGGTTCAGGCATCTAGTAGACGGGCTTCTGTTTCTCGAACGCCCACGACCGCCAGTTGTCGCCGTGGTAGGGCGGCTCGGGGTTCCAGTTCCAGGGGCGGCCGTTGACCTTGCCGTCGGGCGGCAGGTACCCGTTGCCCACGAACAGCTCCTTGCTGCGGCTGATGATGTTCGGGATGGCGCAGCGCCGCAGCATAGCGTCTGGCCGCCACGGCTGCCGCGCGCAGCGCATGAGCTCGTCGATCCAGTGGTTGTACCCCACAGATTCCAGCCACTTGTTGCCGAACGCCATGCGCCCCAAGGCCGCCTCGTTGGGGCCCGGGCACGTCATGCCCAACGCCATGTCGGTGGCCGCTGACCAGTAGTAGCCCGACTCGAGATCGCTCATGCCCAGGCACACGCACGCGTACGTGTACCACAAGCCGTAGTTGCTGTTCTTGTCGCATTGGAACGGCTTCGTCAGGTCTCTGCTGGCGATCGCCTCCGCGCCCAGCTTCCCCCCGCCCAGCCCGCCGAGGCTCACCACAACCACCACCGCGCACAGCAGCGCCACGCGCGCGCTTCGCAGCCCCATGATAGCTGGGCCGACGCAAAGGCAACGGTACCACAAGCGGGAGATCTGGTAAGAAATTGTTGATTTCTGAGAGGGTGTGGATGAAGCTGTTTCGCAGAACCAAAAATTGAGGTAGGAGAGAGGAAAGCAGAACTCGCTGTCAAGTGATGGAATGATGGTTTCAGTGCTGGTTCTTATAGCTGAGGCCAGCCGGATTCATGTGTGTGTGCGTCAAAATGTCAATTTCTGGAATCGCAACCTCCGAACCGCACATGCAGCCAGTTGGTCAGCGGAGGTTGCGCGGTTGGGACGGTTGATCTTCTGTTTTGCTGCTTCATGGGTGCGCGTGGCGCTCGCTCTCTGCTATTGGTTGTTTGAGTTTCGCCTACAGTCGCACAGGTCGTAATGTTACGCTGAGTGAAATGGCATACATGTACGAATACATAGCTTCTGAATAGTAGATATTGTTTGAATTCTCAACTCATATCGTACAGTGGTAGGACGATAGCGGGTCATTTTCTAGGCAGCTGTTCGTTCTAGCGAGGGCTCACGAAAGTGGCACCACAGCACTCTCTCTCCGACGAAAGGCGGGAGGGAGACTACCAAGGCGCGGGGAATATCAAGGGGAAAAGAAAACAGGTGGCAGAAAGCAAGGAAGGCGGAGCAACGAAAACCAAGGCAGGTGAAACCAATCAGGCAGGTTCAGTGCTTGAATACTCGGATATCACAACGAGAAGCAGCCCGGTCAGGTTTCAGAATAGAGTTATTGCGCTGGATCATAGCCTGTTGGCTAGCGATATCGCAGCACCACTGAGTGACGACGACGTCAACAGCCGGAGCAGTGTGTCTGACGTTCAACCTTTCTGGCAGCCGTATCTTCTGCCTCCAGCATTTTTGCACGCATCGCATATAAGTGTCACTGGTCGGACTCAGATTGTACTCTTTTCCTTCGCTTCCGCGTCGTTCGATCGCTATTGGCTCCGCGCCTTGCTGTTTTTAGGCTCATTGTCGATTTGAGCCTTGATATTGCCGTGGCCTGTAGTTCGCATGGGGCCGGACGACAAAGTGCGCGACACTCGGTCGCAGTCGCTTTCAGACGTCGCACGACCCATCCCGACTGCAGTCGCGCGATGTCTGGATCGTGTGCGACATTCATTACAAGTTACCTTCAAGGATTTCGTCGCAGACGGTCGCCAGTGCAAAAACAGCGACGCTAGCGACGCAGCCGACGACAGCTGCGGGCCGATTCAGATTCGCTGCCGCGACGCGCAGCGCGATCAAATCGTCGCATTCTGTCGTGACCATGCGACCAACGACCGCGCGGGCAGCTTATACGTTTGCGGCTGCCCGGGAACAGGAAAGACCTTGATGCTGTCGCAGGTGGCGAAGGAGGTGGCGACGTGGACGAACGCGGCCGGCGAGGTGAGCCCAGGAAATGCCGCGTCAGTGACGCGAGCACGCACGCAGCCTTTTGACTGCTCTTACAAGCATCATTTTTCTTCTTTCCGCAACACTGAGTCATCATCACTGCCCCTATCGCTCCGTCGCCTTCACACATTCGTTCACCCTTTACCGTTCATTCGCCTCTCACCCTGCTCCTGTCACTCCAAATTCAAATCACACCAAACACTCATTCGTCACCATGTGCCCGGCGTCCGTGCGTTCAACCCGGCATTCACCCTGTCCTCGGCAGCCCTTGTGTGTGCCGGTGTACGTCAACTGCATGGCACTCACCGACCCCGCCAGCCTCTTCCCCCAGGTGACGCCCCGCTCTTTCTCCACCCCGCATTCGCCCCCCGTTTGTAGTCTGCTGCTCCTCTCACGCGCTCATATACGCACTACTCCTGGTCTCTCTTTGTCAACCCCTCTTTCCGTTCAAAGCTCGCGAATTTTGTCGCCTTGTGCCTTCTTGAGCTCCCCACTTTCCCCATTTCTTCACTTCCCCTTCCCCTTCTCTCGTCTTGTGTCTTCCTCATTCCTCTTGTTGAGCCTCCTTCTATCCCTCCCCCTTCCCCCGTCCCACCGCTCCCCTCACTCCCCGCGCGCGCCTCAGATGGAGCGCGCCATAGAAGCAGCACAGGCTGCGCACCACACCTCCCCCTCTAACCACGGCGGGCGGAAGGGCGGGCGGCAGCGAGGGGGCACAGGACGAGCGCGGCCGAGCGGGGATGGCGAAGGGGCGAGAGAGGCCGTGTTGTCGCTGCTGCAGCAGGAGGTGCAGGAGGAGGAGGCGGAGCAAGCGGAGAGGATTGAGTCGCGGGTGGTTGCGAGGGATGCAAGTGAGGAGGCAGAGTCTTCAGGGGAGGACGATGACGTGGTTGAAGTGGTGACAGGGGACGCACGACAGGCAGGGGCCGAAGGTCATGCAGGGGACGCACGGCAGGCAGCGGACGCATGGCAAGCAGGAGCTACAGGACAGGCATGCGCTGCAGGGGCGCTCGCTGCAGGGAAGGGACGAGTGACGCGGGGGACAGGAGGTGGCAGAAGCGGGGAGAAGGGTGGCGCAGGAGCAAGGAGAGTGCTGCGGCTGAGGGAGGGAGAGGGGGGGAAGGGGCAGGTGGGCGGGAGAGCCAATGCTGGTGGTGACAAGAGTGGGAGGAAACCTATGATGTGAGTCAGCCCTCTCTCTTCCTCTGCATTTAGTCCCCTCGCCATTTAAGTCAGTTTTCTTGTCGTCCGAGTCAGCCCCCTCTCATCTGAGTCAATCCCCTCTCGGCATTAAAGTCAACCCCCTCGCTCTCTGAGTCAGCCCTCTCACCCTCCGAATGCCCTCAACGACCTTGGTCGTCATCCACAGAGATCGACTCATGGCAGCACGTTCATTGCTCATCTGCTGTCTGTGTCTCCCCAAACTATGCAATGTTCCCCTCGTGTGCATTGCGCGCTGTCTGTGAATGCTGTGGTTTCTGTGTTGTGTGTGGTGTGTGCTGTGTGGGTGGCGCGAGCATGGCATGTATCAGACTGGTGGTGGCGGACGAGGTGGATCAGCTGGTGAGGGGCAGAGACACCTCCGTACTCACCGACCTCTTCCTCCTGCCCTCCCTCCACGCCCACTCGCGCTGCATCCTCATTGGTCAGTCACTGCTGCTTTCTTAATTGGTCAGTCGATGCTGTGTCCTCATTGCTCAGTGCTGCATCCTCGTTACATACAGCTCAGGACCTCTCTCCAGTCCAGTGTAAAGCTCGAAACAACCTTCCAGTCAAAACCCCTCCATCCTGCACCCCGTGCCCCTGATCGCCCCTGGACACTCTCCCACCCAACAGGCATATCCAACTCCATTCATCTCATCGACTCTCTGCTGCCACACCTCTCCCGCCCCAACTCAATGTGCGCTTCCTATCCCCCATACCCGTCCTTTCACTCCCTCCCTTCCCTCTCTGCCCTCCTTTCCCTCCCTCCCTCCCTTCCCTCTCTGCCCTCCTTTCCCTCCCACCCTCCCTACCCTTCCTCCCTTCCCTTCTACCCTACCCTCCCTCATACCTTCTTTTCGCTCCCTTTTCCAGCCTTCACTCTGCTGTGACCGTTCTGCTAATGTTCGTTGTCCCTCCAACTCACTCTTCTCCCCTCACCCACCCCACAATTCTCACTTCGCGTCTCACCGCCTCTCTTCTCCCTCCTGCCTCCTCTCAGGGGAGTGACAGCACGCCCAACACTCCTGCCGTTCCCAGCATACGATCGCAATCAAATCTACGAGATTCTCTCCCAAAGGCTCCAGGTATGCACCAGTTGCCATGGCTACCTGTTCGCCATACTGCCATGCTCACCTGCTCGCCAGACCACACATATCCCCCAGTTCTCTCATCGTCATCCTGCCTCTGTGTGCCTCTCTCACCCTTTGCTTCCCCGCCCCTCTCTCCATGCTTCGCTCACCTCCCTGCTGCCGCGCCCCTCTGTGTGTGTTCCACCCGGGCAGGCTGCTGGAGGGATGCCAGTCGGTGCAGCAGCGCGTGGGGCAGCGGTGGCGGGAGGGGCACGGGAGAGCGCATGCACGACGTTGTCGTTTGACCCCATGGTGCTGCATCTCTGCGCTCGGGTGCGTTGCTCTCTGTGTCTCTCTAGTTGAAAGCCAGGCTAGTTAGGGGCAGCAGCGCGTGGGGCAGCAGAAGTGGAGGGAGGGGCATGGGAGAGCGTGTGCACGTCCTTCTCCTTTGACCCCATGGCGCTGCACTCGGGTGTGTTGCTCTCTCCCACTCGCTCTTACACGAGCCAAGTCATGTCGCCATGGTGTTGTGTGTCTCTCTTTCATCCATCATCCTCCTCCCGCCCCTTTCCCAGATTGCCAACGACCATTCTTGCTACTCCCTCCTCTCTCTGACGATATTTCTCCTGTCCTCTCCCCTCCTGTCCTCTCCCCTCCTGTCCTCTCCCCTCCTGTCCTCTGCCCTCCTGTCCTCTCCCCTCCTGTCCTCTCCCCTCCTGTCCTCTCCCCTCCTGTCCTCTCCTCTTCTATCCTTTCTTCCTTCCGTCCTTGGCCATTTTGTGTGTGCCTGTGCGTGCGTGCCCGTCTGTGCATGTGCATGCCTGTGTGTGCGTGTGTGAGCAGAAAGTGGCAGCGGCGTCAGGGGACATGCGCAAGGCGCTTGACATCACCAGGTCAGCCAAGCGCTCCATCATTCCCCTTCCATGCACTCTCGCCGTACGCCCGTTCACTCTCTGCCCCTTCACCCTACGCCCCTTCACTCTCATCATACACCCCACCCTACGCCCCTTCACCATTGCCAGAAACTGCCGTCCTGAACAGCCTTTGGTTGCAGTCATAGCCGCCCTGTCTCTTCTCATTACACACTCGCCCTCTCTTCCCCTCTAACCTCTTCTTCCCTCACTCTCCCCACTTACTCTGTTCCTACTTACCATCTCTTTCCTCACCTTCTCCCGCCCTGCTCTCTCTCCCCCCGCCGTGACTCCCCCCTGTGCGCGCAGAATGGCAGTGGATGTGCTCGAGGCAGAGATCCAGGCGCAGCTGAGGGAGGCACACATGGGGGAGGTGGATGTGAGGGAGGCAGATACTAGGGAAGCCCTGCCTGGTGCAGGCTCACCTGCTGACAGCACTGTTGGGGCGACAGGGGACGGCAGGAGTGGCAAGCGGGCGGCAGAGGGGGAGGCAGTGGGGCAGGCGACGGGCAAGAGGCAGCGAGGGGGGGCCGTGGCGGAGGCGGTGTCCCTGCAGGTGCAGGTGCATCACATGGCACAGGCCCTCTCCCGCTCCTTCGCCTCCTCCACTGTCGATTGCATTCGCTCGCTGCCGCTGCACCAGCAGGTACCAGTGCGCGGTGCACCAGCAGGTACCAGTGCGGCCTGTGTGTTGTGAGTCGACTTCAAACACATTTCGCATATCACTGTTTCAGTATCAACCGCTGATGCATCACATGTGCCAATCATCCCATGCAACAATCATCCCATGTGCCCTACCTGTCCCATACTGCTCCCACACTTCCTCCACTGCCCCTGTACCTCACAGATGGTGTTGGTGGCGTGTGTGCAGCAGCACCAGCAGCACAGGGCACGGCACCGCTTCATCACCCGAGCCAAGCCTCCCTCCACCACCAACGACTTCCTCCTCTCGCAGGTACTGCCCCTCGGGTGCCTTCTCCCTAGTGCCTTCCCTCGGTTACTTTCACTGGTACTTCCTCAGGGGCTTGAAGCACTCTCAGCTCCCCGGGTGCTTGTGCCCATGGTCCCTGATGCACACTTGAGCCATGATCTGCATTCGATCAAGGCACTCTTCATTGCTCACCTTTCCCACACTGGCCCCTCCCCTTGAAACACCTCCCACATCGTCCTCCTGTCCCCTCCCGCCCCGCACTGGCCCCTCCCCCTACCCCGCTGTCAGCTGTACAGCATGTATGCAGGCTTGGCACGCTCGCTGCACGTGCCGGCCGTCACACTCAACGAGGTCACTGACATGTGTGCCATACTGCACGGCCAGGTGCGGTGCGGTGCGGTGGTAAGGGTGGGATGGGGCATACTGCAGGGGCTGGTGGGGTGGTTAGTGACTATGAGGCACTGCAATATGTGGAACACTTTTGGCTCTTGGACACTCATTGTTGGCACATTCATCCTTCCACTCGAGCCACATCGCACTTGCTGTGCACTGAGGAACATTCACTTGGCCTTACATTCACATGTACCTCCAACTCTCTCATGTGTGTCATGTCCTGTGTGACATGCCTGCCTGCCAGGCTCTGTTGCAAGTAGTGGGTGGGGGAAGGAACGCTGCACGGTCCCAAGCTAAATGCAAAGTAATGCTCAAAGCCAGTGCCGCCGACGTCATCTTTGCCCTCCAGGTTTGTCACACTTTGGTTCCTCTTCCTTTGACATCTCTTGTTTCCTACGCCTGCTTTTACTGATTTCTGGCCGTGGTTTTGTTATGAGGTGCAGGGAGTGCGCATATTCAAGCAAGTCCTGAGCGACGTAGCAGCAGATTTAGAAACGTAATCCATGGTAAAACAAATCCAACGTAATTTGTATGTTTTATTTTAGTTTGAGTGCGTCATTTCACATTGCCAAACCCCACCTCAAATAGGAACTCAGTAGCGGATAAATGTCAACCTCACAAGTGTATCCCAATTCTTGATTCTTGGTTCCCTCCCATGTAGTCGCTGCATGGCCTGGAATTCATCACCAACTGCTATTTGCCTCCTCCTCGCGTCGCCCGTGTCAGCTTCTTGCTTCGCGTTGTCCCACGCTGCGTGCTTCCCGCCCCTCCCTCCGCACCTCACTGATTCTAGTTTCCGTTTCCCCTTACCTCTCTTTCGTCCTTGCATTTCCTCTTGGGTTCTATATTCCGCATCACTGAGTTTAAAGAGTTCTAAATTTCGCGCTTCTCCCAGCTTTCACCTGTTTCCGAGCCGCGCGCGCACGGCAGCAGGCAGCCATGGAAGCGTCGCACGAGGCGCTTGCGAAGGGCAAGGTGATTGGCGACGTGCTCGACGACTTTGTGCCGTCGCTCGACATCAAGGTATCGCGTCGGGCAGAGCTGTCGCAGAGCAAGCCAGGATTGACGGCGTTGAAGCTGGCCTTCTGACCTCATAATACGCGTGGTGTTGGCAGGTGAAGTACGGTGGCAGGGAGGTGCGAAACGGTGACGAGCTAACGCCCAGCGAGGCAGCAGAAGCGCCATACGTCGAGCTGGCGGGGCGACACGAGAACGGGGACCTCTACACACTCGTGAGTCAACGCCGGTCAACGCCAGTCAACGCCTCACTCATGAATCAACGCCAACACACCTTACTGCAAAGCCGCACTAAACAGCCCCCTCCCCATGCCTCCCCATCACTTCCCACTCCTCATTCCGTCATCCGTGTTCTCCCCAACGCTTCACATCCCCTCCCCTTGCTTCCCCCCTCACCCCAGGTAATGTCAGACCCAGACGCGCCCAGCCCATGCGCGCACACGATAGCTTCCGCGCCCCCCTTCTTGCCACTCCTTCCATAACACCTTCCCCCGCTCCTCCTCTTCCCCCCCTTCGTCCCGCCTCCCCTCTCCCATCTTTCCCCTCGCCCCCAGGTAATGTCGGACCCAGACGCGCCCAGCCCAGACAACCCCGTGGCGGCCGAGTGGCTGCACTGGTGAGACTGGGGGGAAGGAGAGGAAGAGCGGGGGGAAGGGAAGGGGAGGGGGGAGTGGCTGAGGGAAGTGGGGTCGACAGGAGTAGGGAAGGCTGGGGGGTTTGATTGCTGGGGAGGTGGGAGCAGGGACAGCAACGTGATTGAAGAAATGTTTTGAGACGTCTCAAAACTTTTCTTCAATCACGTGGGGGGTTTGATTGCTGGGGAGGTGGGAGCAGGGACAGCATGCATGCAAGTCGGCCACTGTTCTGCACATGCCTTGCCATTGCAGCCCATGGTATCACATGCATCCCTACACTACCAAGTAACCTCATTCGTAAAAACACCAAGTCCTTCCCCTGTGTGTGTGTGTGTGTGCGTGCAGGCTGGTGGTGAACATACCAGGCGCAGCAACTCTCCCACACAGCAGCGCAGGAGACTTAGTGATGGGCTACAAGGGCCCCTCCCCGCCCATGGGCGTGCACCGCTACGTACTCTCTCTCTTCCGCCAGCCACACCGCCTCACCACCGACGCACCGGCTGCGCGCAAGGGCTTCAAGACGCGCCAGTTTGCACAAGAGTTTGGGCTGGGGAAGCCCGTGACTGCGCTGTTCTTTCGTGCGCGGAAGGAGTGAGTAGGTGGTAGGAGCAATGAGGCGTGAGCGGGAGTGAGGGTTGAGGGTGAGGAGTGGGGAGTGAAGAGGAGGCGTGAAGCGAGGATGAGGGGCGAAATGTTCTACATAGGCAGTGTGAAACATGTTGCACATGTAGCATGAAATTGCGTGGCATGGCTGGGACGAGGATGGACACGCACATGCTCTGTGTTCAGAGACACTATAATACATGTATAGTCCATCAATGTACATAGTATAATGAAAGTAATTTCTGTACATCTGCCAGGCCACTTGATGCCTCTTCCCCCTGCACCTCACAACACGAGCATGACCACTGCCCTATTGCACATCGATCTGCTTGCACTGAGGCCACACAGCAAGACCACATAGCAAAGGCCGCTGGCTCAGGCATGTGAGCGTAAAGCAGCACAACCAAGTCTGTGTGTATGGTAAAACCCATACCATACCGTACCAAGCGTTTATGGTAAGGCACCAAGCCTGTGCCGCAGCAAGGCTGTGCTGGGTGCAGCAGGCGCGGAGAAAGGGAGCGGGTTGCGTGTCCCACCCTGACAACAGCCCAAGCAGGTGAGTGCTCGCCCTCTCTGCAAGGTCAGCAGCCACAGTTTACAGGAGTGCCAGCAGTCAGAGCTCCCAGCCATTCAGCGACTCGGAGCTGGGAACCGACTTGATGGCCGCCTGTACTGCTTGTTGTGGCGCTGCTGCTGGTGGTGCTGCAGCGACTGATACCACTAGGTGGTTGCCTCCTCTGCATGGGCAGCAGTCACAGCCTGCAAGTATGCAAGTCAGAGGTCACAGCTCCCAGCCATTCAGAGACTCGGAGCTGGGAACCAACTTGATGGCCGCCTGTGGTGGTGGTGGTGGCGCTGCTACTGCTGGTGGTGCAGTAGCGACTGATACCACTAAACCTTTCTTCTTCTTCTTCCCCTTCCTTGCTCGCACTGTTGGCACCTCAGCTGCTGCTGTCGCTGCTGCCTTGACACTGCCACCACCACCACCACCACCACCACCACCACCACCACCACCACCACCACCACCACCACCACCACCACCACCACCACCACCACCACCACCACCACCACCACCACCACCACCACCACCACCACCACCACCACCACCACCACCACCACCACCACCACCACCACCACCACCACCACCACCACCACCACCACCACCACCACCACCACCACCACCACCACCACCACCACCACCACCACCACCACCACCACCACCACCACCACCACCACCACCACCACCACCACCACCACCACCACCACCACCACCACCACCACCACCACCACCACCACCACCACCACCACCACCACCACCACCACCACCACCACCACCACCACCACCACCACCACCACCACCACCACCACCACCACCACCACCACCACCACCACCACCACCACACCACCACCACCACACACCACCACACCACCACACCACCACCACCACCACCACCACCACCACCACACCACCACCAACACCACCACCACCACCACCACCACCACCACCACCACCACCACCACCACCACCACCACCACCACCACCACCACCACCACCACCACCACCACCACCACCACCACCACCACCACACCACCACCACCACCACCACCACCACCACCAACACCACCACCACCACCACCACCACCACCACCACCACCACCACCACCACCACCACCACCACCACCACCACCACCACCACCACCACCACCACCACCACCACCACTGCTGCCACTGAAGCTGTTGCTGCTAGCAGCACTAGCTGCCTTGATGCCACCACTTGTTGCTGCACTTGCTCCATCCTTCTCCATACTCCCTCCTGCACCTGCTACACATGCCTCATCACTGCTCACAGTGCCTCTGTAACCAGCTGAGACACGTGCGGCAGGTGACGCACCTGGGACAGGTGCGCCAGGTGATGCGGAGGAGGCAGGTATGGCAGGTGACACTGAGACAGGAGTGGCCGGTGACGCAGCTAAGAGAGATTCGGCAGGTGAAGCAGCTGAATCAGGTTCGGCAAGTGATGCAGCTGGGGGAGGTTCGTCAGGTAAAGCAGCTGAGAGAGGTTCGGGAGGTGAAGCATCTGAGACAGGTTCGGCTATTGCTGCATCCCCAATGCCTTCTCCACTGCTGTCGTCACCACTTCCAGCAACGACACCACTGCCACCATTGCTGTCCTCGCTCCCACCACTCCTGATACTGCCTTGCATCTCTGCACCTTCTTTCTCCTGCCTTTCAATCTCTTGCTTCTCATGCTCCTGCTCCCTCCCCTCCACCTGCCTCAAACCTGCTCCTCCTTCACACAACACCGCCCCTCCCTCCTCACGCTGTGCTCCTCCCGTACAAACCACTGAACCTCCACAGCCGCTTCTCCTCCCCCTCTCCTCGTCTCCATCCCCCCCATCCTTCACCCCAGCAACCACCTGTTCCATCTCCCCCACCCCACTCACCCTGCACTGTGCAGACCCGTCCACGCCAGAGCTACACACTGCAACTCCCGTATCCTCATCCCCCTCCAGTTCTACGCTCAACACCCCCTCGACCACCACTACTTCTGACACCACTTGTGACACCTTTTCTGACACCTCTTTTGACACTGACACCACTTCTGACGCCTCATTTAAGGCTGCTTCTGACACTTGCACTGGTTCTGACACCACATCTGACACCACATCTGACACCACATCTGACACCACATCTGACACCACATCTGACACCACATCTGACACCACATCTGACACCACATCTGACACCGCTTCTGACTCCCTTCGACCCCTATCCGCCACCGCCTGCTGTTGCTCCACCTCGTTTGGCCCATGCTCCCTACCACACTCCTGCTCCTGCTGCTCCGCCTGCCTTTGCTGCCCCTGCTGCCCCTGCTGCTCCTGCTGCTCCTGCTGCTCCTGCTGCTCCTGCTGCTCCTGCTGCTCCTGCTGCTCCTGCTGCCCTACCCCCCCCCCCTCTTCTGCCACTCGCTCCTTCCCCACCTGCTCCTCCCCTGCTCGTTGTTCCTGTACCGTTTCCTCCTGCTCCTCCCACTTCTGCTCGCCCCTGTCTGCCCCTCCTTCGCCTTCCATCTCCCCCTCGCTGCCGCGCACGAGCAAGCCACAGCGGCTGCTGGGAAAGGAGTCCCCAGGAGCGTGAGTAGGGGGAGCAGGTGGAGACGGACGAGGAGGAGAGGGAGACAATGGTGAATTGGGGGACGGGTGGGGAGACGGCCGAGGGTGGAACCCGGGGGAACAGGAGGGCGGTGGTTGGTGGTGGGGGTTAAAGAGGACGGTCATAGTGGGGGAGAGGGGCGATGGGCGGGAAGGCAGGGGTTGGGAATGGGGCCCCAGGGGCTGGGAGGAGCGGGATAAGGCACCTCTTGCTGCTGCTGCTGCTGCTGCTGCTGCTGCTGCTGCTGCTGCTGCTGCTGCTGCTGCTGCTGGTGATGCTGCTGGTGGTGTTGCTGCTGATGCTGATGCTGATGCTGCTGCTGCTTCTGCTGGTGGCGATGCTGCTAATGATGATAAACGGGGGGTGGAGGAGGAGGCAAGGTGGTGTGGCTGTGGGTGGGTGGGGCGGGGCGAGGGGGCATGTGAGGAGGAGGCGAGAGTGTTGCTGTGAGGCAGAGGGGCGGATGCTAGTGGATGGTACGGTGGTGGGAACGGTGGAATGGTGGTGCGGGGGTGGCACCGTGGTGGGGAGGGTGGGAGCACGAGGCAGGACGGAACACGAGACTCCCGTGATCACAGGAACACGGAATGGAGGGGTGGGATGGGGGCGATACAAAAAGAGGTCGGAGAAGGAACGGGGGGGGTGGAGTTGATTATGAGAGTTGCAAAAAGCATCAATGCTGCAGCTTACCTGATCGGCAGTGAAGTGGGAGTGAGAGGGAACGAGGAGAGAATGGCGGAAGAATGAGAAGAGAGAATGGCGGAAGAATGAGAAGAGAGAAGCGAATCAGCACTGGGGCACAACCACCCTGGCCTTCATACTCGTTATAGAGTGTACAATGGGAATTTCACTGCAAGGCCGGCTACATCAGTCAGTGTAACGGTCACCTAAGAGTTGCCTACCCTACAGTAATCCTGCACGCCCAACTGCTGCTGCTGCCTCCACTTCCTAATTGCTGCTGCCGCTCCTTGCCCCAGCACTAACCCTCCCCACAAGCCCTTCCCTCCCAGAAGGATCATTGGTCAGAGCTTGGGGCTTTGGGGCTTGCGAGATGCGGCTTGTAAGAAGATGACTTGTGCCTAGGCAACCGTGCGAGCCCCGGCCTACACTATCCGCCTTGTGTGCAGAGAAGAGAAGCATGCATGCGGTCAGAACAGAAAGCGTGGCTTCACTTGGCTTGGGCTGGGCTGCAGAGCTCTGAGGCGGGTCTTTCAAGGCCGGTAGGCGCTTGTGTGCGTGGATTAGCATCCTGCAGGAGAGCACACAGGCTGTTGGTGCCGCCCTTGTCCAGATTCAATGCACGGACAACTCGTGCACAACTCACAGCGTATGCACAGCAGCATGTAGTGGGGAGACACAGAGAGAGGAAGAGGAGGGGTTGGGGAGGGAGAGTGATTGGCGAGGATAAGAAGTCGGGGTGGAGGAAGACGAGAGGGCGAGTGAGATAAAGGGGCAGCAGGGGCAGGAGGGAGGGCGGGTCACTCACCTAGGGTGTGCGTTTGGGCAGCAAGCCACGGGTCGTCGAATGCAAACACTCCCTCTGCCTCGCCTCTCTCGCCGACCCGCCTCCCACTCATGTCAAACCCCATCCGCCCCTCTTCGCGCTCCTCCTCCCTTGCTTCCTCTATCGCCCTGGGTCCAGGCACCAATAATCCAGTTGCTTCACTGCCGGGCCCCCCTTCAGCCTCCCAGCTGTCTGCCCTCCAATCAGCATCATTTGCCATGCCCCCCTCCTCATCCACACCACCCAACATCCCTCCACCCACACCAATCACAACCCCCATCCCTACTTCCCCTCCTGCTGCTGCTACTGCTCCCCCCTGCTCCACCGCCATCCACTCCCCACCAACCCCTTCCTGCCCTCCCCCACCGCCCCCCACCTCCCCCAACTGCTGACGCCCTCTGCAGCCCCCCATGGGCTGCTCCAGCGCCACGCCCAGACCTGTCCGCGCCTCCTGTGCTACCTGCCCCCTCGCCCTGCTCCCTGCGCCCACCCAATTGCTGCTGCTGCCGCTAATACTACCCAGGGGGCCAGGAGCAGTAGCAGTACCGGGGAAATCTCCAGGTAGCTCTACTTGCCTCCCGTGCATGGCCTCTACTCCCTGCAATCCCTCCTTCCCTTGCACTCCTGCTTCGGACACTGCTATCTCTCCTGCTGCGAGAGGAGCGGCTGTGGCTGTGGTTGCAGGAGAGGGTGAGAGTGAATGTGGGAGCCGCGGAGCAGCAACACCAGCAGCAGTAGCGGCGGTGGCGGAGTGGCGGAGCAGGCCACCCAGGGCGGAGGTGCGTCTGGGGGCATGCACGGCACCACTGCCATGCTCCCCGCCCACATGCACTCCCATGTGCACCCCCACGTGCGGCTGTGTCTGCGGGCCGATGCCTTCATGCGTGTGATACGCGTGCTGCTGCTGCTGGGCGCCACCCCATCCCTGCTGTCCCCCATGCACCACCTGCTGCTGCTGCTGCTGCTGCTGCTGCTCCACTCGTGCCTGAGGAAAGCCCTCGAGTGTGGGCGGACTGGCAGAGGACGGGAAGGCAGGCGGGGAGGCCCCAGTGCCAAGGGGAGCGGGAGGGGGCACAGCGATGCCTGCAATGCTGGCAGGGGGTGCCTCACTGCCAACCGCCTGTAGCTGCATGTATGGGTCCTTTGACTGGAGCTCAACCGGTGGGTCCTCTGGTTGTAGCCGCACCTGCAGGGCACGAAGCATTCCCAGCAGCACGCAGTAACAGGCAGGATGGAAAAAGATTGCTCAGTTGTGAGACAATGAGCCACACTTAGCATGGTTGGCGCAACAAAACCAGGGAGGTTGTGGAGAACAGCGCTGCGCAATCAGACCCTCGTGGCTACATTCAAACCGCTTCTAACAGTTTGCAACATCTCACTGGAAAAATCTACATGAGAGCAGAGCTGCAGACAAGACAGACGAATAGTACTCACATAGGAGCGCGCCCACAGGGGCGTCGCTCTGCTGGTGGACAGCTGCACCTCCGCGTGCATCAGATACGCCCTCTGCTGTGCCTCCTCCGCCGCCCTCTGCCTCACTTCCTCTGACGCTGAGCACACAGCATTTGCAGAAGCACCACCAGCGGCAGCAGGAGCAGCGACAGCACCACCAGCACTGCCAGCAGCAGCAGCAGCAGCAGCAGCATGAGCACTAGCACTGTGACCATCAAGCCACGTGCTGTCAACGGGGATGGGGTCATCACGGTCGCTCCAGCTCACACGGCGACACACGTCCCACACCTCACCCGCCTCTGCTGCCACCTTCACCACCACCTCCCCCGCTGCGCTGCCCCTGGCGCTCCCCACCCTCATGCCCCTCACCCCCGCGGCAGCGGCAGCAGAGCGCAGCGCGAGGGCGGGGAGAGAGGGCAGGCGCTCAAAGGAGCGCCCCCCCTGCACCGACGAGTCGGATTGAGCCATGGGGGGCACGGTGGGGAAGGGGGAGAATGGGGGGAACGCGGGGGCGGAAGCCATAGCGCCCATGCCAGGGTGCATGCCCGCTGCTCTGCTATGGGAAGCCATGGCGTGAGGCGGCATGTACATGCCTCTGGGGTCGTATGTATGGCTCGTGTACTGGTCGTGTGGGTGGTGCGTGTACGAGTGGGGTGTGTGCATGGGGCTGCTGTGGGTGTGAGAGGGGGAGGAGGACGAGGAGGAGGAGGGGTCAGCAGCAGCAGCGAAGGGAGTGAGGTGGTACCGTATCAGGTGACCCAAGGGGGAAAACACCCACAGCTGCTCTGCTATTGGCTGCGGAGCCCAGTCCGGCTGCCCGAAAAACTGCCCGGAAGCTACCTGGTGGTGCCGCTGCTGGTGGTGCGTAACAGCCCCACTCCCTCCCATCATCCCAAAACCCCTAGCACCTGCCACCCCCCCAAAGTGGAAAGCAGCAGCAACGGCGCCTGGGATCTCCCCCCCTAACCCAGCCGCTGCTGCCGCCACGCCTGTCACGTTCCCCCGCCACCCACTGTTGGCATTCCGAATGCGCCCCACTGATGTGAGTGCCACTGGCGCGGGGACGCGTGGGGGAACGCGGGGAGGCGCGGGGGACGCGCGCAGGGGGACGTGCGCGGACCACCAGGGGCGGGGGGGGGGGCGGGGGAAGGAGGGAGGGGGTGTGGGTATACACAGGGTGGAGGAGGGCGGGCGAGGGCGCGGAGGGGAGGTGAGTGGCGGGGCCGACGGGGCCTCCAAAGGGGGAGATGGCGAAGAGGTGTGTGGTGCCTCGTGCTGATGACACGGCCACCCACCTGGCATCGTGTGAAATGACCGCACTCTGTATCACCTGTGAGTCACGCATGGGGGTGGGCGGTTGGGTGGGAAGACGGGCAGGCAGACAGGCAGACATGCATTCGGGCAGGAGGTCAGGTGGGCGGGCAGGTAAGCGTGCAGCGGCAGGGAGAAGGGGGCGTAAGGGGGAAGGTGCGAATGAGGAGTGATGCGGAGGAGAAGTCCCATGCACAAGGCATGGGGTTGAACAAACCTGTAACCATGCATGCATACAGGGGGGTGGTGTGTACTCGGCATAGAGTGCTTCCTTACAGCGTTAGTGAGGCCGCGGTGAAGCCTATACAAATGCACATAGGAGCAGCCGTCTGGGGGCGACTGCAGCGGGGAAGGGAAGGACGGGTAGCAGAGAAGAGACGGAATGAACGGGACAGGAAAAACGCAAACGGGCAGAAGTAGGAGCTAGAGTTACGCACGCATCGAACAACAAGGAGGACAACGCCACGGCTGGCTAGCAGAGCACTCAGCAGCGTGACAGGGTCCATGAGCGCAAGCAGAGCGACAGGATTCATGAGCAAAAGTAGAGCAGGTACATGGGGAGCACAGGGTGAGTGAGAGGCAGTGACGCGGCATGGGAGTGAGTACCTGGGGGTGTGAGTCGAGGAGAGGTGCGTTGGCGGCAGGGGAGTGGAGGGGCGAGGGGGCGGGGGTGAGGCGGAAGACGTTGAGGGAGTGGCCGGCGTGCGAGGCGGAGAGCAGCAGCGTGCCCGAGCTGTCAAACGCCAGCAGTGCTATGGCGCTGCCGTGCGCCTTGAAGTGCGCTATCACTGCTCGAGTCGCCACATCCCGCACCATCACCTGTGACCACACACACACACACACACACACACACACACACACACACACACACACACACACACACACACACACACACACACACACACACACACACACACACACACACACACACACACACACACACACACACACACACACACACACACACACACACACACACACACACACACACACACACACACACACACACACACACACACACACACACACACACACACACACACACACACACACACACACACACACACACACACACACACACACACACACACACACACACACACACACACACACACACACACACACACACACACACACACACACACACACACACACACACACACACACACACACACACACACACACACACACACACACACACACACACACACACACACACACACACACACACACACACACACACACACACACACACACACACACACACACACACACACACACACACACACACACACACACACACACACACACACACACACACACACACACACACACACACACACACACACACACACACACACACACACACACACACACACACACACACACACACACACACACACACACACACACACACACACACACACACACACACACACACACACACACACACACACACACACACACACACACACACACACACACACACACACACACACACACACACACACACACACACACACACACACACACACACACACACACACACACACACACACACACACACACACACACACACACACACACACACACACACACACACACACACACACACACACACACACACACACACACACACACACACACACACACACACACACACACACACACACACACACACACACACACACACACACACACACACACACACACACACACACACACACACACACACACACACACACACACACACACACACACACACACACACACACACACACACACACACACACACACACACACACACACACACACACACACACACACACACACACACACATGCACACACACACACACACACACACACACACATGCACACACACACACACACACACACACACACACACACACACACACACACACACACACACATGCATATGCCATGTGTGGGACGAGTGAGGGTGGGTGGGGTGGAGGAAATGGGATGCGGTGGCAAATGCGGATTATGAGGTGAGTGTGAAGCCGTTTCCTGCTCGCACATGTCATGTGAGTGGGGAGGGAGTGTGGGGTGGGGTGGCATGTGAGGGGGAAAAAGAGGGTCGGGCGGGCAGCACTCACGTTGCCGGCATGGCCGGGGTCAGCAGGTGGGAGCTGCGGTGGTGAAGGAGAGTGCATGGCTGCTGCCCTGGGACTGGCGTCCGCATACCCATCTGTTGACGACCCCGATACCGATGCTCCCGAGACTACTGACGCTCCAGAGACGGATGCGTGTGGTGAGTCAGGCGCAAACATGTGCTCCGGGCTCCTGCTGCTCCAGGGGGACCCCGACCCTGCCGCAACACCTGAAGCACCTGACGCGCTGGAAACACCTGAGCCGCCGGCGGACTCCGCCACCATGTCCGTCCAATACTTGCCGACCGCGCGCACCCCCAGGTCCCCCAGGGCGGCTATCCCCCCCGCCAGCTGCTTCCCTGACTCTTTAGCATAATGCGCCACCAGTGCCGCCCCTGCGCCCGCTGCAGCAGCAGCAGCCGCAGAGGAGGATGCGGAGGAGGGGAGGGGGGCGGAGGCGGGGGGGGCGAGGGGCTGGTTGGAGGGGTAGGCGAGCCAGCGCGCGCCCAGGGCGAGGGCGCCGTGGGGGGACGTGCGGGCGATGCCGGGGAGGGCGGAGGGGAGGGGGTGCGGGTGCGTGAGCACACTGAAGGCCGTTCGTAGTGACGGTAGGTCGTATATGTACACCTGATGGGGTGAGCGGCGAGGGGTGAAGGGGGAGGGGGAAGGGGAAAGGGGAAAGGGGAAGGGTTGGTGGGGGAGACGGGTGGCAAGAATGGGGCAGAGGGATGGAGGAGGGGGGTGAATGGGGGGGAAGGAGAGGGGCGGAGGGGGGATTGTACAGCACCATCACAGCCACTGCGAGTCGCCACTCACCTGTTCCGTGACAGCCACTGCCAGCACGCTGCGGTTGCTCCTCACGCCCATCACCCGCCCCGCCACTGTAATCGAGTGCACATACGAACCGCTCCGCATCGAGTAGAACCGCAGCACGCTCTGCTCGCCGCCCGTTTCGTCTCCGCACGCGTACGGCTCGTCCACCCCGTCCGCCACGTCAGCGTACGGTTCATCGTCGTCCAGGTACGGAAATTGCGCGGACAAGCTTGGAGATTCCAAGGCTGCCGCCGAGAGAGGCGGAGGCGCGGCGGCAGCGGGGCACACGACGCAGAGCACGGGATGCGCGTCGTGGAGCGGACTATCCGGGGGGGTTCTAGCGACGTAAGGGATGGGATGCAACGAGTCCGCCGGGCCGTCGCGTCGCGAGACGAGCTCTTGCACGGCGTGTGGTTGGCTCACGTCCCACACGTGGAAGCCCGTGGTGTACGCCACGAGGAGCACGTGGCGCGTGCCGGACACGGGCACGGACGCGCCGCGGGAGGACCCCTGCTCCAACCACCCGAAACCCGCCCATGTGACCTGCGGCGTGGCGGGACAGCGGAAGGAAACACCCCACTTGGCAACAGAGGCGATTTCTTCCGTTCGAACTCGAGCAATTGATCGAATACCAAGCCGCGGCGTTAAAAGAAACTTGTGCGCTGTCTGTTTCGACACGTTTATACGCAGAATAAAAATTCCTATCATTCTTTTGTTATTTTTGTTGTTTTTTTTTTCGTTGTGTTCACCACGCATCAGCGCGTACCTGCTCCTTGTTCTGGCTGTCGTCGCCCGGCGCCATGGCCGCCGCGACCGACGCTGAGGCGGAGCGGACGGCGGAGGCGACGAGGGAGTCGGCGGAGGAGGAGACATGGCGGAGGTAGCTGGAGATGGCGCGGAACGACGGCAGCAGCCCCGCCGACACACTCCGCACGCTCGGCAGGCTGCGCCCCTTGTGCGCGTTCTGCACCTGCTGGGGGGACGTCCCCCCTGCGCGCCCTTCCCCGCGCCTCATGATACTGCGCGTGCACCTGCCGACGCTAACGCTGCTACGCGCGGTCGTGGTCGTGGCATGCAGCCCACGTGGCAGTACCCCAGCGGAGTACTAACGCGCACGACTTCACTGTCGGCTGAGTGTATAGCAATCACGAGTCGAGGTTACGATTCGTTAGAGTGAGGAATGGTCAATCCATAACGGAGATATTTACAGAGGCTAACAGGAGCCCGAAGCTTGAGTGTATAGTCGACACAATTGAATAGAATGCGCGAGTTAGCGTGCCACTTACAGTCCAAAGGCTGCTCTGCTTCTGAGAAGGCTATTTCTATCGGTGGATAAAAGGAGCCAGTGGAGCCGCCTACGCACCTAGACTTAGTGCCCAGTGCTTGGAGCAGATAAGCTACGCCACGTCACACAAGCAGCTCTTTCGAGTGATTCATGGATGTGTAATTGCGGATTAACGCGATGTTTTCTTCACAACCTCAAATCAAACCGCTTGCGTTATGCTCTCATGCCATGTGGTGTGGAATCAGTGATATGATCCTGCAATCGTGACAAAACGCGCAGAAACGTATTGAAAGCCTTTGTCACGCTCCACCCACGTCACATTTCCTGCCATGAAATGTCTTCGCAGCCATCAGTGTGACCCTCCCCGAGCTCCATCAGCCGCACGCCTTCAGCTTGACACCAGCGAACCAGAATCGAGGGTGCACCAACGCCGATTGCATCAGTCTTGGTTACGAACTTCACTGACCAATCGGAGCCCGTTTGGGCTTGTCAGTGCTAGCCAATCGTAGCGCACACCGTCACTTTTCCATCCATCCAACATCATGGCGGGAGGGACAAGCGTCTGACATTCCTCATCCGCCACGTGCTCAATCTCGCATTGACCTCGCCTAAAAACGAGAGGCTCGACCTGCTAATATCGCGAACTTAGCACAACAGGTGGTAACCCTGCGAAACGCCCAAACCTGACTCTGGGGTTTACGTCATCAATGGGTCGGGCTTGGGTGTCAGCGCATGACCCCACGCCCACGCCAGCACCGCTTACCTGTAGCCAGCCCCACCTCGTGGTTGCTGTGGCTCAGCTGATTGGTGTGATGCCACTCTCATGCCTGATTGGTAAAAAAAAGGGAATTTCGATTCTGGGAGGCAGTTGTCTTCGTCATGGTGTGACTCATCTCGCACATGGTATTCTTGGATGGGTCGAGAAAACGTTTGGGGTATGACACTACGCACTCTTGATACGGTTAGCTCTTGTCACCTCTTTGAACCGCTACTCACCAGGCTAATCAATTAATAATGGCCTCCTGACGGAGCTTGGTAGTTTTTAAAATATTTATAAATTTTGTTTTAGATTAACTGTCATCCGGGTGCTTGGTCTAGTGGTATGATTCTCGCTTTGGGTGCGAGAGGCCGCGAGTTCGATTCTCGCAGTACCCCGTTTTCGTTTTGGGATGCTCTTTTTGTTGCATCCGCTTTTGCGTCCATGACTTATCAGCCTGACAAAAACGTCACTTCCAGTATCGGTCGCTGCGCGGTAGGAGTGTGAGAACTAATCGACGGATGGAAATGCTGAAGCTGTCACCTATTCTCCAACTTTGCTGACACTAGCATTACTCGAGGGTTCCGTTATTCACCCTTGATAGAAGCACGTCGAATGTCGTTCCGCACATCCGCAATCAGTACCTGACTGACCGCAACCCTCTGCAATGGCCTTCGATTACGGCGTGGCTATTGGCTTGGAGGCGAGGGGCGTGTGGCGCGAGTGGCTGGGGGAAGCGGATCACGCGCTGCTTGCGCCGTGGCTGCGCGACCCAGGCACATGGGCGGAGTTCGCCGCTGGCGCGGGTGAGTGCGGGGGAATGCGCGGGAGCGTGAGGGGGCGCGCACGCGTGTTGCGTTGTCTCAAAGCATAGACGCACTCTCGCGTGAGGGGTCGTGCGCGCCGCGTGCGCTTTTGTGCCCTTCTCCTCACCTCTCGCTCAGGTCGCGTCGCCGTTGCCCGCATTCCGCGCTCCCAAACCGCCGCCATTTCTTGCCTTCCCCACTCAAAAACGCGCCATCTTATCTCCTCCCACCCGCCACCCAATCCCTTCCCCGGTTTCCCGCCTCCGCCATGCGCGTCCCTGTGTTCCCCGCAGGCGCGGATGTCTCCCCCGCCATGCTCCGCGTGCAGCTGCGCGCGCGCTCGCTGCTTCTGGGTCGCGCCGTGGGGGAGGCGTGCGGAAAGGCGCAGGGGGAGGCTTGGGGGGAGACGGCGGAGGGCGGGTTGGCGCGGAGGATGGGGGGGAGGGTCGCGGAGGGGAATCCGCTGATGGACGATGACGTGTACGCGTCAGTAGATGATGACGTGTACCCGTGCCTGGATGATGACGTGGACGAATGGCATGCCATGCTGTCGGCCGCCCAGCCGTCCGCCCACTGCATGGCGGTGCTGCGCGCCATCCGCCAGCAGGAGGGCCCTCTCAGCGCCGCCATCATCCGCAGGTGCTGCTGCTGCGCTGCTGTGCTGTTTTGCTGTGCCGTCCCATGCCACTGCTCACATTTACCATGCTGCCACATGCCACTTCCATACCATCTGTGCCACCCAGATCTCACCACCACATGCCTTTAGCTCTAAGCCCTGGCATGCCATACCATCCTGTGCCAGCTGTGCCACCCACATTGCACCACGTGGCTATAGCTCTCAACTCTCTCTTGGCCACTCCCGTTCCCCACGCTCCCACTGTCCTCTTTCCCCTTCCTGCTCCCCCCATATTGCGCCAGGGTGGGTTTGGGCGCACCTCACACCGCATCCCAGGACGCTGACCCGCCCCCCCCTTCTTCCCCCGCCTTCCCCTCACTCGGGGGAGAGGGGGAAGCAGAGGGGAACGGGGAAGGGGAGTGGGGAGGCGGAGAAGGGAGGGGTGGGGGGGAGGCGGGGAGGCAGGAGGAGAGGCAGCGGCGGCGGCGGCAGTGGCGGCTGCTGCATGCTGTGAAGCGCGCCAAGCACTCCTGCAAGCCCTTCCGCGAGCGGGCGGCGCTCGTGCGCACAGCGGCCGGCATGGCTCGATTCGTTCAGCAGCAGCAGCAGCGGCAGCAGCAGAAGAAGAATGAGCGGAGGGAGGGAGGAGTGGAAGGAGAGGAGGGAGAAGGGGAGGGTGACGCGGAGGGTGCGTGGGAGAGGGAGAGCCAAGGCGTGTGCCCTGACGACTGGGACATGGATGCATTGGCTAATGCCGTGCCTGACCCTGTGGTGGCCTCTGCCCGCCCCCCCTGGCACCTGCACTGCCCCTGGCGCATGCAGGGGGGCACTCACAGGGGCGCGGGTTGGGGTGCGGGTGGGGGGAGAAAAGTGGGATGGCACTCATCGGGCGTGAGTGCAGGGATGGGAGGGCGGGGAGATGGGGAAGAGCGCACGCAGGCAGAGCAGCAGCGACAGCCGGAGGAGGAGCAGCAGGGAGAGGAGCGGGCGAGGGCGCGGCTGAAGGCATGCGTGGCGGCGGCGCTGCAGCAGATGGGGTGTGAGGGCGCGGCGGACAGCGCCCTGGCCGTGCTCACCGACGCCCTCTCCCACCGCCTCTCCCGCATGGGCCGCTCCCTGCGCGCCTGCTTAGACCGCTGTGACCTGCTGCACCTCGCTGCTGTGGGCGTGGGGGGTGTGGGGGGCGTGGGGGGAGGCGTGGGGGGAGGTGTGGAGGGTGTGGGGGACGGGGTTGTGATAGGAGATGGGGAGAGGGTGGAGGAGGGGGAGGAGCGGCGGCAGCAGGCGATGCAGATGGCAGCAGCAGAGATGATGCTGTCTGGGGCTGATTCTCGTATCGGGTATGCTCTTATGGGGTATGCTCTTACGGGGTATGCTCTAACGGGGTATGCTCATATTGATATGCTCTTATCTTGTATGCTGTGCATGTGGTGTGCTCGTATCATGACTCTTCCTCTCCCTCTGTCCAGTGCCCATCTACTTGCTGCTCCCAGCACCACTCATCTCTCGGCCAAATCTTGATAAAGCCCCACTCCCTCAACCTTACTCCACGCCTCTCCTCGCTCCCATGCCCCACCCCGCCGCATGCCCTCCCTCTCTCAGCACGCCAGCATCGCTGGCCGCGTTCCTGCGCTGCCCCTCACAGCCCACGCGCCCGCCCCTACCGCCAGCGGCCGTGGCTGCCTTTGCTGCGTCGCTCGGCCTGCCCCACGCCCCCACTGCTGCAACCACGGATATGGCTGGGCCGGGTGGGACCGGTGCTGCAGGTGCTGTGGGTGGGATGGGTGCCATGGGATCAATGGGAGGAATGGGAGGCATGGGAGGGATGGGGGGCATGGGCAGTGGTGGTGGTATGGTTGGTGGCGGAATGGATGGGTTGGGGGGGGCAGGTGCGATGGCTGGACTCGGGGGGATGAGCGCGGTGGGGGGGATGGGGGGAATGGGGGGTTTTGGGGCTGTAGGGGGTATGGAGGGGATGGGGGGAATGGGGGGCATGAGTGGGATGGGGGAGATGGGGGGGAGTGAGTCGGTGGCAGCAGCACTGGCGGCAGCGGCAGCAGCTGTGGCTGCAGCAGCAGCAGGGGGCCTCACTGGTGCTGCTGGCATGGGGGCGGGTGGGGGGCTGGGAGCAGGCGGGGGAATGGGGGCAGGAGGGGGGATGAACATGGGCATGGGGGCTGTGGGGGAAGGCATGGGGGCACTTGTCGGGGGAGTAGGCGGAATGGGTGGAGCAATAAGGAGGACAAGTGCGGGAAGGGGGGAAATGGTAGGCGATGGGATAGATGGGTTAGGAGGGATGGGAGGAGGGATGGGAGGAGGAGGGATGGGAGAAGGAGGGATGGCAGAAGGAGGGATGGGAGGAGCAGGAGGGATGGGAGGAGGAGGGATGGGAGGAGGAGGGATGGGAGGAGCAGGAGGGGTGGGAGGAGGAGGGATGGGAGGAGGAGGAGGAGGAGGAGGAGGGGGAGGGATGGGAGGGGGGGGAGGAGGGACGGGAGGAGGAGGGATGGGAGGAGGAGGAGGGACGGGAGGAGGAGGGATGGGAGGAGGAGGGATGGGAGGAGGGGGGATGGGAGGAGGAGGGATGGGAGGAGGAGTAGGGATGGGAGGAGGAGGGATGGGAGGAGGTGGGATGGGAGGAGGAGGGATGGGAGGAGGAGGGATGGGAGGAGGAGGGATGGGAGGAGGAGGGATGGGAGGAGGAGGGATGGGAGGAGGAGGGATGGGAGGAGGGATGGGAGGAGGGACGCAAGGCCGCATGGGGCAAGGCAACTCGGGGCAGGGCGGCATGGGGCAGGGCGGCATGGGGCAGGGCAGCATGGGGCAGGGCGGCATGGGGCAGGGCGGCATGGGGATGCATGTGTCGGGCTCTTTGGCCTCCTCTGACAGTCCCGCTGGGGCCTCCACCTTCCAGCAGCAACAGCTGCTGCTGCACCAGCAGCAGCAGTACCTGCAGCAGCAACAGCAACAGCAACAGCAGCATCAATCGCAGCAGCAGCAGCAACAGCAGCAGCAGCAGCAACAGCATCAGCAGCAGCAACAGCAACCACAGCAGCAGCAGCAGAGTTCCCCCAACGTATCATCATCTTCTCTCAGCGGCACCCCTGCGGACACGGCCGGCAGTGGCCCGTCCGCTTCCCCTCTCTCTGCCGCCCAGCGGAAGCAGCAGCAGCAACAGCAGCAGCGACGGCGCCGGCAGCAGCAGCAGCAGAAGCGGCTGCAGCAGATTCAGCAGCAACAGCAACAGCAGCAACAGCAGCAGCAGCAACAGCAGCAGCAGCAACAGCAGCAGCAGCAGCAGCAGCAGCAGCAGCAGCAGCAACAACAGCAACAACAACAGCAGCAGCAGCAGCAGCTACAGCAGCAGCAACAACAACTGCAGCAGCAACAGCAGCAGCAGCAGCTGCAACAACAGCAGCAGCAGCGGCAGCAGCAAGTGCAGCAGCAGCAGAACCAGCAAGCCCCACGCCGCTCTCTGCTGCTCAGTGTGTCCGACCCAAGGCACCTCTCCTCCCCTCCCTTCAACAACCCCCCTCCGCCTGCCTCTGCTGCAATGGGCGCAGCTGCTACAGCCAGTGGCGGAGCCTCCCCTCCTCTCCCTCACTCCTCCCTCTACTCCAACGTCCCCTCCTCGCCCTCCTCCCACCCACACACCATGCCTCCCCCGCTCACTCCCACGCTCTCTGCCCTCCGCCTCCCCTCCTCGGGCAACCCGCCCTCACTCCCGCACGTGCTCGCCTTCCCCTCCCCCACCGTGTCCCCTGCCTCTGGTCCGCTGGCAGGCCCAGCAGCAGCGGCAGCAGCAGCCCGAGTGCCGCCCCTCTCCATCCCCGCCTCTGGAGTCCCTTCCTGGGGGGGTGCAGGGCCGCAGCATGGCCCTGGGGGTGCGGAGATGGGTATGGGAGGCAGGCAGGGCATGGGGGGTATGGGCGCACCTGGTGCAGGGGCTGGGGGGGAAGGAGTGGGCGATGGGGGGTTTGGTGGGGGCATGGGTGGCGGTGCGGGTGGGGGAGGGGGTGGGGTGTTGCCGGTGGCGGGTGTGGCAGGGGGGAAGGGGAGGGGCTCGACTATTAGCGCTTCTGCTGGTGGTAGTGCCGGGAGTGTTGGTGCTGCTGGTGGAGGTGCTGCTGGTGGGGGTGCTGCTGGTATTGGTGCTGGTGCTGCGTCTGCTGTGGCTAGCAGTGTGGCAGCAGGGGGGGCAGTAGCAGGGGGAGGGGAGGTGAAAGGTGCTGGTGGAGGTGGTACTGGGAAGGGAAAGAAAGGCGAGGGGAAGAAGGGTGGAGGGGGAGGGGGCAAAGGAGGTGGAAAGGGAGGGGGCAAGGGAGGGGGGAAGGGAGCAGGTAGGGGAGCGGGTGGGGCAGCAGGGGCAGGCAGGGGAGGGGGAGCAGCGGCAGCAGGGCGTGGGAAGGGGGGAGGGGGTGGAGGGGCAGGGAAGGGGGCAGGGGCAGGTGGAGCGGGTGCAGCAGGCGGGGCAGGGAGAGGGGATGGGGCCATAGGGGCAGTTGGGGCGGGTGGTCAGATGGGCACTTGATTGGGCACTCATCACAGCCGTCTGACAAATCAATACAGAGTTACGAGTGTGCGGATGCACGTGGGAAAAAATTGAGTCGAACTTCTCTCTCGCCTATCACATCCATTCAAAGGGCACAAAACACTCGCCCTGTCGTACTAGATTCGCCCCGTCACACCACATTCCCCCCTTCACACCACATTCGCCCCGTCACACCACATTCGCCCCTTCACACCACATTCGCCCCTTCACACCACATTCGCCCCTTCACCTCACACCACATTCGCCCTATCACAAGAGGGGTTCGCACTTCGCCCTGACACAACGAGTCAACCTGTCACAGCAGTGATCCATGCACTGTCACGGCAGAGATTCCCTTCCCACCAGGCCTCTGGATAGGATTTGAGTTGGTCTTTCCCATAAGGCCAACATCCAAGTTTCACTCTTTCAATCAGGGTACAAATTCAGAACACACTTATAAATCAGGGTGGAACTTTAAACCAGTCGTTAATTTACTTTTTACAAATTCATTACCTCGTGTTCTGGTGTCCAGTTGTGTAGGAGTGGTAATTTTTAGTGAGCACGCGGGTTCAAAACCCGCCGCAGGCACTCGCTTTTCTCTTTTAGCGTGGAATTCTGACAGACTCGGTAAGAACTAGATCAGAACCGTCAGTGTAACTACATGGAGTTGTTCAACAGCACTCTGAAATATCAGTGTCGTAAATCTAAACACTTTTTCTTGGAAGGGTCAATGGAAAAGCCACTCTGGTAAAAAAGGGTGCATAAGAAAACCCACCCTTATAGTAAGTGTCATAAGGGTAAATCACCCTTATATCAAGAGGCCTGCTTCCCACCGCTGGAAATCACGATATGCTATGTTTCGATTTCAGACGATACAGAAAACACGTGTCTGATAGAACACATGGAAACTAAAAACCATTTCTGACCCATCAGACGGCATAATAAACACATTTCTTGAAAATCAGATGAGTGAAAAAAAATATGTCTTATTTCTCATAAAAACAGACAAAAATGTCTGATAGTGAGGGCCCTGCTATAGGCGTAGGGAAGAGGATTCAGCAACCTGATTGTTATTACATATTCGAGTGGCACATGTTCAAATACACTTATTAGAGCCTTTTCATCTTGGTTCTTGCGTAAAAAGAAGTTCGGCACCTAAAATTTCGATAGTTTCTGCCGACAAATGCCCAGAGAGCGCATAAATCCCTAAAGGCGTAGGGAAAAACATTCAACAACCTGATTGTTATTGCATATTCGAGTGGCCCATGTTCAAATACACCTATTAAAGTTTTTCCGGCCTGGTTCTTGCGCCATGAAAAGTTCGGCACCTAAGATTTCGGCCGTTTTTGCCAACAAACGCCCGAAGAGTGCATGAATACCTATAGGCGTAGGGAAAACTCTGAAAGAACGAGGAATGAATGAACTAGGAAACAGTTGGATACAAATGTGAAACCCTAGAAACCTGTACCCCTTAGAGTCTACCCCACTACAGCCTACACAGGCTAAGTCATATATATCTGACACACCCCCATAGGCAAAGTGGGGGAGAACTAGGGGTCACACGACCAGTCAAGCAAAGCAAAACAAAGCAAGCTCAGGGTGGATCACAACGTCACCACACAGTCCGAGCATAGGTTCAAGGCCACAAGGCCAGTTCACATGCAGGAATATATATAAAGGTAAACAAGCAAGTGCAGGTATAAATAGATCACAGTACAAGCAAGGTCAAGAAGTGAGCAAGTGAGGCCAAGTAGGCACAAGACCTAGCATCGTACAGAAGCGCTGATGATCACAAGGCTGAAGTGCCTTGGTAAAGATATCAGCAGTGTTGGCCCGAGAGGCCACGTAAGCAAGGCGCAGCTCACCACGCTGTTGCAGCTCACGAGCAAGAAAGTAGCGAAGAGCAATGTGCTTCGTTCTGTGCTCCAATCTGTGCTCCCGAAACAAGGCCAGCATGGCCTTGTTGTCTACGTACAGAACTGGAGGAGAACGAGGCAGCTCTCCCAGGTCGGTCAGCAGGTAGGTGAGCCAGCGTAACTCCTGTGCAGCCATGGCCCCTGCGTAGATCTCCGCCTCACAGCTGGAGCCGAGAATAGAAGACGAGCGGGTAGACCGCCACGAAACAGAGCCGGAACCAAGGCTAAAGGTGTAACCCTGTTACGACCGCTGCGTAGCCTGGTCGTCAGCCCAAGAAGCGTCTGCGTGACCGGTGAGGACCACTGAACGCCGCCCTCCAAGCACTAGCCCCATGCCTGACGTACTGCACAAGTAGCGCAACACTCTCTTCACTGCAGCCATGTGCTCTGGTCGGTGTCTCCCAGGAGCAACATAGCGTGCCAAGATGCTAAGAGGGTATGCAAGGTCAGGTCGAGTGCAGGTCATCAGGTACATGAGGCAGCCAACAAGCTCTGGGTACGGGCCACTCGGCTCTACGGACTCATCCGAAGGCAGAGCTGAGAGCGAGTGGCGAGTAGACAGAGGAGTGGCCTGAGGCGAGGAGTACGTGAAGTCGAAGCGCTGAAGGACCTGCTACACCATGTGTGACTGAGTCAGGGTAATGGTGCGCTGTGCTCTGTCCCAGGTGATCTGCAAGCCAAGGTAGCTGCGCAGTTCACCCAGGTCGGTGCATGTGTGTCTCTTCTGCAGCTCAAACTTCATGTGGGCGAGTCCAGCAGTGTCAGCAGTAGCAAAGACCAAGTCGTCGACGTACACGAGGATGTAGAACGGCGGCAAAGAGGTGTCGGTGCGCAGAAACAGCGACGGGTCGGCAGTAGAAGGAGCAAACCCAAGAGCCGCAAGTGTAGTCCTCAGTGTGTCGTGCCACTCACGGGGCGCCTGGCGGAGACCATAGACTGGCCGCCGGAGGCTCCACTGGGTGCCAGGAGGAAACGACCTAGTGAAGCCAGGTGGGCGGCGCAGCCAGATCTCCTCGTGCAGGCTGCCCTGCAAGAAAGCTGTGCTGAAGTCAAGAGAGTGAAGCTCGTAGTCGCGCTGAGCAGCTATGTGCAGCAGTACCCGAAGAGTGGTCATCTTCAGGGTGGGAGAGAAGGTCTGAAAGTAGTCAACTCCCTGCCGCTGACTGAAGCCTCGAGCCACGTAACGCGCCTTGAAGACAGGCGGAGAACCCGGCGGCCGCTTCACCCTAAAAATCCACATGCCACTGACGATGTTCGCCCCAGGTGGGGGAACCTCGTCGACGTAGGTGCCTGTGGACTTCCAGGAAGCCATCTCTGCGTCCATGGCTGACTGCCACTGTGAGGAGTAGGGACCCTCGATCGCCTCAGCGTACGATCGAGGAGTCGGGATGTCTGGTGCATCCGGGTCTCCCTCAGGGGCAATCAGCATGGACACGAGATGAGGCAAAGCAGCAGCAAAACACTGGAACTCCTCCTACCCGTCCTCAAGGACGTCCGTGCTAAGAGCACACTCACCCCCGACGGACGGAGGACAGACAGACTCAGACTCAGCAACAAGACTAGCGGCGTAGTCTAGACAACAGCGCGCAGCAAAGTCGACGAGCTCAGCAACTAGGGTAGACGCAGCAGTGGACTCAAAGGAAGGGTCAGTGACAACAGTAGCCAGGAGACGCGTGACAGTAGGACTGGCAACACGAAGAGAGTCAGACTCCAGGTCAGCAAGAACAGGAAGAGAGGACTCTGGAGGAGACGGCAACGGGACACGCAGAGGAGCAGTGGAAGGACGCAGTGCCATCTGGTGTGTGCCTGGGACCGCAGGAGGACGCGGACGCGGAACACGACTACTAGTGCGAGCAGAACGAACACGCGACGCAGGACGAGACGCAGGCTCACGACGCTCAGCAAGACCTCAAGTAGGACCAGTGTAGGGAGAAGGAGCAGGCAGGGGGGAGGCGGGCTGTAACTGTGACTGCGACTGGACAGGCTGTGGACACTCTAAGGGAGGAGCAGGACCAATAGAAGGCGGGAGACCAAGAACCTGCTCAAGGAGCGGAACAAAGTACAGCCGCGGCCGCTCAGCGCCTCCTGATACAGCAGGGACAGCACCAGTACCCCCAGCGGCAGCACCAGCGCCAGCAGTACCTCTAGCTCCAGCAGCGCCAACTCCAGCACCCTCAGAAGTACCAACGCCAGCAGCACCTCCATCGCCAACACCCCCAGCAGCTCTAGTACCTCCAGCAGCACCCGCAGCACCTACAGCAGGACCAACTCCAGCAGCCCCAGCAGCACCCCCAGTCCCAGCAGCTCCAGTACCGCAAGTACGAGCACCTCCAGGACGAGTGGCTCCAGTACCTCCAGCGCCGACCCCAGGGTCAGCAGCAACAGTAGCACCTCCAGCTCCAGCAGCACGGCTCCAGCGCCGGGCAAACCACTCGCGCAGCTCCTGTGGAGAGGGTAGCTCCCGCCGAGACAAAGCACCCGAAGGACCCCCAGACCCAGCACCGCCAGAGGCCACACGAGCAGACCCAGCACCCCCAGGCTCCGCACCCCCAGGCTTAGCACCCCTAGGCTCCGCACCCCCAGGCTCCGCACCCCCAGGCTCAGCACCCCCAGGCTCCGCACCCCCAGGCTCAGCACCCCCAGGCTCAGCACCCCTAGCGGCACCAGAGTCAACAGCTACCTCGACAGGCTCGACTGCGTCTACTTGGGACACACCTGACGGGGCAGGACCCTCGGGGGGGAGAGGGTCTACCGGGGGGGGACCTGGCGCAAAGAAGAGCGGCGGCGGGGGGAGAGGCGCAGTGCGGTAGGGGAAGAGACGGTAGTAAGGAACTGACTCGTCAAAGGTGACGTCCTGGGAGGACAGAACACGGCGCGAGGTGGGGTCCCCCAGAGGGGTCCGCCAGGGAGACCGCAACTGGCCGACTAAGCGGCGTAAGCGTGGTGCGGTCTCGAAAGAAGGAGCGGGAAGCACCCGAATCAAGGGTGAAGGTGTGGAAGGCCTGAGCGGACGTGGTACTTGAGAGAGCACACGCACCAGTACCTGGGGCAGAAGACGCACTAGCACCTAGAGCAGCAGCCTCACCAGCACCTAGAGCAGCAGCCTCAATGCCCGGGTCAGGCGGAACACACAGGGAATAGTCACCCTCATCACTAGTAGACACAACATACATGGCATCAAGAATGGCATCATAATCCAGATCAAAGATAGCAACCCCCGACCTAAGCAGCTCGCCCCAGCGAGGGATCTCATTGGCGTCAGAGAACTGGAGACGCCAAGCGTCCGTCAGGCGGCCGAAGCAGCGCTGGGTGGTGTGCGGGCCACCGCACGGTTCACCAGTGCCGTCGCCGGTACGCATGATGTAGGCACAAGGACCAGCACCCCCACCCCGCTGACGCGCAGCGTACAACTCACGAAGCTGCTGGGGGGGCGGGGTCTCACGAGTGCGCTGCTGCTGCTGGCGCTGACCACCAGCGAAGCCGCCCCGCTGCGCAGAGCCACCCCGACCAGCTCCACCTCCGCCGCCGCCACCTCCGCCACCGCCGCCACCGCCTCCTCCTCCGCTCCCACCGCCACCATCGCCGCCGCCTCCGCCTCCACCGCCGCCACCGGAGCCCCCACCCCCGCCACCACTCCCACCGCCACCCCCACTCCCTCCGCTGCCTCCACTGCCACCTCCACCGCCCCCGCCAGCCCCTCCAGCGCCCTTGCCCCCCTTGCCCTTGCCGGTGCGGCGTCTCCCGCTAGGGGTAGACGCAACGCCGACCGACTCGGTGCCAACGAAGTCGACGGCAGCAGCACAGGTAACAGAGGGCAAAAGGGGGGAGGGGGAGCACCCCTCAAAGAAGGGGGCACGAGGGTCACCACGAGAGGCTCCTACAGCGACTATACTCTTCTCAGCTGCCAGGAGGCGCTCCTCGAGGAGGTCAACGGTGAGTGTGGTGGGGCAAACAGAGAGGAAGTGGTCCCTGACTACGCGAAGGGAGTCAGGGAGCCGGGTGACTATGTAGTAGAGGGTGATGTACATGGGAGAGGGTTCTTGGCGCAGAACTCAGCAGGAAGTGCAGCGCGGTAGCGGGTGTCACTAGTGCGAAGGTGCGTAATGAGGTCAGCGACTGTGGGAAAGGCGGCGAGGTCAGGAAACAGGTACGGCAGCATGAGGCGGCTAAGGGCAGCAGTGGCAGGGGAAGAGTAGCGTGCAACTACAGCATCGTACAAGGTCTTAGCACTCTTGTACTGACTAAAGTGCGCGCGCTCAGTGGACGGTAAGTGACTACGCACAGCAAGACGGGCAGCAGCATCGCGTGTGGCCCATTGTGAGCGAACAGTGCTGTCAGCATCGGCAGCAGGGGCAGCAGAGGCGCCAGACGTGAGATCGAACAGTGAGAGACCGTCCTTCCTATCGCACTGTAGGAAAAGCTGTAGATCATCGACCCAGACCTCAAAGTCAACAGCCCGACCCTCAGCATCAAAGACTAGAACGCTAGGGGTAGCCATGACAGTAGTGGCAGCAGGCTAGGGGCAGCAGTAGCAGGTGTGGCTCGGCAGTGATCTCACCAGGGCTGGTAGGTAGGGGCCGGCAAGCGGTGGGGCAGGGCCGAGGTGCGTCGGCAGGGACTGAGCCGTGACCGCGGCGGCAGCTCCTGCTGTCAGTGGTGGCGGCAGTCGCGGCTGTCGGCGGCGACGGCTGCTGCTGGTGGCGGCCGCCGCTGCTGTCGGCGGCGTCTGGTGCTGTCGGCCGCTGCTGGTGGCGGCCGCATCTGCTGCTGGCGGCGGCTGCTGCTGGTGGCGGAGGAGCCGAGAAGGGGCCGGGAAGGGTGGCGACGGGGCCACGAAGGGCATCGACGGGGCCGAGAAGGGGCCACGAGGGGCCTTGAAGGGCGGCGACGGGGCTGCTAGGGGCGGCGACGGGGCCGCAAAGGGGCCGCGAGGGGCCAAGAAGGGCGGCGATGGGGCCGCTAGGGGCGGCGACAAGGCCGCGAAGGGCGGCGACAGGGCCAAGAAGGGGCGGCGACGGGGCCGCGAAAGGGGCCACGAGGGGCCTCGAAGGGCGGCGACGGGGCTGATAGGGGCGGCGACGGGGCCGCGAAGGGCGGCGACGAGGCCGCTAGGGGCAGCAAGGGGGCCGTGAAGTGCGGCGACGGGTGTGAGAATAAGCGAACAGGAATGGATCAACTAGAAGTGAAAAGAGTACAAGTAGTAAACCCTAGAATTGTGTACCCCCTATAGGCTAACCCACTGTAGCCTACACAAGTATCACATATATAATGTTTGACACACCCCCATAGGCAAAGTGGGGGAGAACAAGGGGTCACAAGACCAGTCAAGCAAAGCAAAACAAGCTCAGGGTGGATCACAAAGTCACCACACAGTCCGAGCACAAGAGCAGGGCCAGAGGCCAGTTCACATGCAGGAGTACAGACATATATATAAAACTAGACAAGCAAGAGCAGGTATATATATATGTCACAGTACAAGTAAAGTCAAGAGGAGAGCAAGTGAGGCAAGACAGACACAAGACCCAGCTGGGTGCAAAAGCGCTGATGATCACAAGGCGCGAGTGCCTTGGTGAACACATCAGCAGTGTTGGCCTCAGAGGCCACGTACGCAAGTCGCAACTGACCACGCTGCTGCAGCTCACGAGCAAGGAAGTAGCGGAGAGCAATGTGCTTCGTTCTGTGCTCCAAGCGATGCTCTCGACACAAGGCCAGCATGGCCTTGTTGTCTACGTACAGCACTGGAGGAGAACGAGGCGGCTCTCCAAGGTCAGTCAGCAGGTAGGTGAGCCAGCGAAGCTCCTGTGCAGCCATGGCCCCGGCGTAGATCTCAGCCTCACAACTGGAGCCGAGAACCGAAGACGAGCGAGTAGACCGCCACGAGACAGAGCCGGAACCAAGGCTGAAGGTGTAACCCTGTGACGACCGCTGCGTAGCCTGGTCGTCAGCCCAAGAAGCGTCCGCGTGGCCGGTAAGGACCACTGGACTCCGCCCTCCAAGCACAAGCCCCATGCCCGACGTACTGCACAGGTAGCGCAATACCCTCTTCGCTGCAGCCATGTGCTCTGGTCTGTGTCTCCCAGGAGCAACATAGCGTGCAAGAATGCTCAGAGGATATGCAAGGTCAGGTCGTGTGCAGGTCATCAGGTACATGAGGCAGCCAACAAGCTCTGCATACGGACCACTCGACTCTACGGACTCATCCGAAGGCAGAGCTGAGAGTGAGTGGCGAGTAGGCAGAGGAGTGGCCTGAGGCGAGGAGTACGTGAAGCCGAAGCGCTGAAGGACCTGCTGCACCATGTGTGACTGAGTCAAGGTAATGGTGCGGCGTGCTCTGTCCCGAGTGATCTGCAAGCCAAGGTAGCTGCGCAGTTCACCCAGGTCTGTGCACGTGTGTCTCTTCAGCAGTTCGGACTTCACGTAGGCGAGTCCAGCAGTGTCCGCTGTGGCAAAGACCAAGTCGTCGACGTACACGAGGATGTAGAACGGCGGCAGTGAAGTGTCGGTGCGCAGAAACAGCGACGGGTCAGCAGTAGAAGGAGCAAACCCAAGAGCCGCAAGCGTAGTCCTCAGTGTGTCGTGCCACTCACGCGGTGCCTGGCGGAGACCGTAGACTGGCCGTCGGAGGCTCCACTGGGTGCCAGGAGGGAAAGTCCCAGTGAAGCCAGGTGGACGGCGTAGCCAGATCTCCTCGTGCAGGCTACCCTGCAGGAACGCAGTGCTGAAGTCGAGAGAGTGAAGCTCGTAGTCGCACTGAGCGGCTATGTGCAGCAGCACCCGAAGAGTGGTCATCTTCGGGGTGGGAGAGAAGGTCTGAAAGTAGTCAACTCCCTGCCGCTGACTGAAGCCACGAGCAACGTACCGCGCCTTGAAGACAGGTGGAGAGCCCGGCGGCCGCTTCACCCGGAAGATCCACATGCCACTGACGATGTTCGCCCCAGGAGGGGGAACTGCGTCAACGTAGGTGCCTGTGGACTTCCAGGAAGCCATCTCTGCATCCATAGCTGCCTGCCACTGAGAGGAGTAGGGACCCTCTACGGCCTCCGCGTAAGAACGCGGAGTCGGGATGTCTAGTGCATCCGGGTCTCCCTCAGGGGCAAGCAGTACAGACGCGAGATGAGGTGAAGCAGCCGCTAGACACTGTAACTCCTCCTGTCTGTCCTCTAGGACGTCCGTGCCAAGAGCACACTCACCCCCGACGGACGGAGGACAGACAGACGCAGACTCAGCAACAAGACCAGCAGCGTAGTCGAGACGACAGCGAGCAGCAAAGTCAACGAGCTCAGCGACTAGAGCAGACGCAGCAGTGGACTCAAAAGAGGGGTCAGTGACGACAGTAGTAAGCAGACGCGTGACAGTAGGACTGGCAGCGCGAAGCGAGTCCGACTCAGGGTCGGCAAGCGCAGGAAGAGAGGACTCAGGAGGAGAAGGCAAAGGGGCACGCAGAGGAGCAGTGGACGGACGCAGAGACATCCGGTGCGTGCCAGGGACAGGAGGAGGACGCTGACGCGAACCGCGACCACTAGCGCGAGCAGCACGAACAGGCGACGCGGGACGAGACGCAGGCTCACGACGCTCAGCAAGACCTCCAGTAGGACCAGTGTAAGGAGAGGGAGCAGGCAGAGGAGAGGAAGGCTCCAACAGTGACTGCGACTGGACAGGCTGTGGACACTCTACCGAAGGAGAAAGACCAAGAACCTGCTGTAGGAGCGGAACGAAGTACGGCCGAGGCCGCGCGGCAGCTCCAGACTCAGCAGGGACAGCACCAGCACCCTCAGCGAAAGCACCAGCGCCACCCACACCTCCAGCGGCAGGACCAACAGCAGTAGGCTCAGCACCAACGCCCTCAGCACCTCCAGCTCCAGGAGGACCCGCAGGTCCAGCAGCTCCGGGACCGGCAGCACCCGCACCCTCGACGGTCGAAGAAGCTCCAGCTCCAGCTCCAGCAGCACCTCCAGACTCAGCAGCACGCCTCCAGCGGCGAGCGTACCACTCGCGCAGCTCCTGTGGAGAGAGGGGCTCCCGGCGAGACGCAGCAGCAGGAGAAACCCCAGGCTCAGCAGCTCCAGACGCAGCAGGGACAGCACCAGCACCCTCAGCTACAGCACCAGCGCCACCCACACCTCCAGCGGCAGGACCAACAGCAGTAGGCTCAGCACCAACGCCCTCAGCAGCTCCAGCTCCAGGAGGACCCGCAGGTCCAGTAGCTCCGGGACCGGCAGCACCCGCACCCTCGACGGTCGAAGAAGCTCCAGCTCCAGCTCCAGCAGCACCTCCAGACTCAGCAGCACGCCTCCAGCGGCGAGCGAACCACCCGCGCAGCTCCTGTGGAGAGAGGGGCTCCCGGCGAGACGCAGCAGCAGGAGAAACCCCAGGCTCAGCAGCTCCAGACGCAGCACCCCCAGGCTCAGCAGCTCCCGACCCAGCACCCCCAGACCCATCACCTCCAGGCACAGCACCCCCTGGCTCAGCACCCCCAGGCTCCGCACCCTCCGCAGTAGCACTCGCAGGCCCAGTACCCCCAGCAGTAGCACCCCCAGGCTCAGCATCCCCGCGCACAGCACCCCCAGAGTCAGCACCCCCAGGCTCAGCACCCGCAGCAGCACCAGAGTCACCTGTAACCTCGACCGGGTCAACGGCGTCTACCTGGGACACACCTGAGGGGGCAGGAACCTGAGGGGGGAGGGGGTCTACCGGGGGGGGAACCGGTACAAGGAAGTCCGGGGGAGGGGGGAGGGAAGGAGTGCGGTAGGGGAAGAGACGGTAGAAGGGGACTGACTCGTCGAACGTGACGTCCTGGGAGGACAGAACACGACGAGAGGAGGGGTGGTAAAACTGCCACCCTGGGGCGTCAGTGGGGAAGCCAAGGAAGACACAGGGAGCAGCACGAGGGGACAGCTTGTCCGCAGACAAGTCGCGGACAAACGCCCGAGATCCCCAGACACGGAACACAGACGCATCGCCAACCTTCCCTGTCCACAGCAAGGCTGGGGACATCGCAGGCCGAGAGACCCGGGGGTGAAGGTTGAGCTGATGCGCCGCGTACCTCATCGCAAACGGCCACAGAAAATGGGGGGCAGCCGCATGCATCATGGACGTACGAGCGACATCCATGACCATGCCAATGCGGCGCTCAGCAATCCCATTTTGCTGTGGTGAGTCCGGAAGCGTGAAGGACTGGCGGATGCCTCGCGCACGACAGTAGGCACGCAGAAGGCCAGAGGAGAACTCTCCGCCTCTGTCCGAGTGCAGACGCAGAACAGGAAAGTCCGAGCCGAAGCTCTTCCTGAGCCGGAGACGAGCCTCGCGGATCCAGTCGATCAGCACCTCAGTGACCTCACCCTTGCTGCGCAAGGGGAGGACTGTGGTGTAACGCGAGTAGTCGTCAACCACCAACAGGAAGTAGCGCTCGTAACCCTGCCCACGGACGGGGGCTGGGCCCCACACATCCATGTGAAGCGTCTGCAGGGGAGCCTCTGTCGGGGGGAAGTGGGAGGAGTGAGGAGTAGCCCGGAGGCGACCCTCGACACAGGGGACACAGGAAGGTCCTGGCCCGGAGGGGAGAGGAGGGAGAGACTGGGGAAGACCAGAGACAAGGACACGGGAAGCCATGCTCCGAAGACGGGGCAAGGAGGGGTGGCCAAGACGGTGGTGCCACAGGAGAGTCTCGTGAGACAGGAGGCGACAAGTACAGGGGGCAGACTCAGGACCAGACCTGGACGCAGCAGCAAACACCTGACCCGACGCTGCTACCTGACCGGACGCGGGGACAGGAGGAGACTCAGTGGTCAGGGTGTAGAGGCTCGACCCCGGCCGACGCGAGAACGTGGCCAGGTGCCGGCCTGT